ACGTTACGTTTATACCACTGCGCACCGGTTGCGCGGCGAATGAACTTATTTTGTACTATTTGCAACTTGTACAAGCGAGTAGGGTGCGTGTGGGCGAAGGTCATGCATGCGTAGGACATAATAGGTCGTACGTAGGTTTTATATAATAATAATTTGTGCCTTAAGGGCATTTTACTTTTAGCGTTAGTTAAATTGTGTAGCCAGCCGGAGACGAATGCGGCTCTATTGCGAACGTTATTAATGTGCGTAGTAAATGACATACGCGAGTCAAAAGTGACTCCTAAGTATTTGACCTTTTTCTCTCAGGGGAGCGGTTGGCCATAAAGGGATATTTACCCCAACTTTCTGCATTGACGGGGACCATTATAAAGATGTGATGAGTAAGTACTTCGTGTGAAGTGAATCGCCACACTCTTTTCGGGATTTATTTCTATTCTTCATTTGCGGAACCAATCGCCGAGGCGGTCGGCGGCGCTTTGGAGTCGAGTGGTTAGTTGTCTAAGGTTGCGGTCTGAATAAAAGAGCGCCGTGTCATCCGCGAAAAGCGCGAGATTGACGTGGGGGTCTTTAGGTATATCGCTCGTGTAGAACGTAAAGAGCAAAGGTGAGAGGCAGGAGCCTTGTGGTCGCGATGGCCGTGAGGCGGCCGTGAGACGGCGGCTTGTGGAGAGGGTGCCTTCAACTCGATATCGAAAAGAGCGGTTCGACAGGAAGGCCCGGATAGTGTGTACGAACCTATCTGGCACTTTGAGTGTGTACAGCTTGTAAAGCAAGCCGTTGTGCCAGACTTTGTCGAATGCTTTTGCGGCATCGAAGAAAAGAGCCCCTGTACTAAGATGTTTAGGGTGATTTAGGCCTTTTAGGATATGTTCCGTTAAGCGGAATAGTTGATCGGGGCAGGAATGTCTAGCTGGAAAGCCGAATTGTTCCGCCGGCAGAAGGCCGTTTGAAAACGCTTGCTCATTGAGCCTGTTTAATAAAACCCGCTCGTAGGCAACTGAGGAGGCTGATAGGACGATAACTAGAGGGCTGGTTGGCTGGTTTATTCGGCTTGCGAATGCCGATAACCGTGGCTTCTTTCCAGTCATCCGGAAAGGAGCAAGTGGAGAGTAAAGTATTGTAATCCATCCTAATATGTAGGTATACTGTACGAAGCGGATGGATATCATAATTCATAATATGATATTATAATATTATATTATCTATTGATGATATGATATTTAGAGGATATAGAGTCTCAAACTTATGTTTCTTATTTCAGTTACCATCAACCTATATTTTCAATGATAAAAATTCCTGAAAAACCTACATGTAAGATAATAAAAATATTTTAAACGATATTAACTTCTCATTTATTCAATAAAAGAAAAAAGTGGTTTGCTTATCGGTCACCACGCTCAAAAAGTGTAACTTGAATGAACAAACAAAAAAATACTGCATATATACAAATATAGTACCTGGTGGACCGAGCTTTGCTCGGTTTTTCTTTTTGGAAATCGTGTATTTTGGAAATTACATTTAGATACAAATTACTGAGTAATGAAATATGCATAATATTTTTCGATCTTACCGACCTAATAATAAGAAAATATGAAGTGGTGTTTTTCACAAAAGAAACAACTTTAAAAAAAGAGAAAAAAGAACAAAATCATCTGGATCAACAAAAAATAAAAAATAAAGAAAGCAATGATCTGGAATAAAAAAAAGAGTGTGTAAATGATCGTGACACGAACCACGGCCGCCTGTTTTGGGGCCGCCCGATTACCGACCGAGCTATTATAACATTTTTATTTGCGGCAAAATTTACCGTCATATTCGAATGAAATTTTTCATTCCTTGAAAACAGGGATAAAAGGACATTTTCTAAAATTGAAACCTTGCTAAAACGATTTTTCACCCCAGAATCTACGCACATACTAAATTTCATGAAAATCGCTGGAGCCGTTTCCGAGATTCCGATTATATATATATATACAAGAATTGCTCGTTTAAAGGATAAGATAAATAAATTATAATTGCATAACTTGATAAAAAATGCTATGCATTGGCTTTACCGCGGCAGTCCCCGAGTTTATTTATAAACCCAACCATACGAGAAAACAAATAAATATCCCCATAATAATTGTATAACACGTTGAGATTGAGTATCGGATTGGCCGATCCGTCTGTCTTTGAAAGGCGGAGAATAAATAAACTCTGTGTTGGTTAAACTGGTTTCATGATTACCTGATAAAATTATATATATAAAACTATTTTCCCCGTAGTTTAGTATATAAAAAACTGTGAATAACACGTCATACATATATGACGACACGATGACTCCGTGGCTTCGTAGTATTGGCTTCGGCGTCGGAGGTCGTGGGTTCGATTCCCACACGGGACAACTAACGAATCAAAGATAGTTGTTTCGCATCTGGGTGTATGTCCAAGTGAATTTTATGTTTGTAAAACGTCCTAAAAACACAGGATAACGTTGTCCTAAAGTAAGGCAACGTTTTTTTAATATATTAAAATATATATATATATATATATATATATATATAACGGCAACGAAGCATTCTAACAATTTAGTAAAAAATCGGCTAACTAGCTGTTTTAAATAATCACTAATATTTTTAGCTTCAAATATTTTTTTATTTAGATTCAAATATTTTATTTATTTTTGGACTGTTTTGTTGCATTAATGCAACATTGCGCTTTTGTGATAAATTTTTACCGTTTATTAGAATGTTGGATGCATCTTTTTCCTGATCAAAATAAGTCGATAATTGCATATTGTGACTGCTCAAAACCGGGAAAATAGACTGGAATAATGGGAAGATATCGAAAATGGCCCAAATTTTTCTGACGACGACGAAGTGACTGATCCAAAATATCACTTTCTTCTTTCTTCTTCACAACTTCTGATGTGAACTCAGAGGAACCACTACACTTGGCAAATGAAGTTTTGGCTGCCACCACCCTAGAAACTAGTTCAAGCTGCTGCAACCCTAGAAACTACATCCATAAATACTCAATTCAGAAGTACTGCAATGTATTCCAATCCAGCCATCATTTATCGTAGTACTAGTTCTATATTGGCTTCAATCAAGTTCATCTAATCGTGTGCCTAGGACAAATAGCATCAGCCCTGTAGTCGCGGGCTTTTAGAATAGGTCTAAGGTATTCTGTGCCTGTCGTAAAAGGTGACTAAAAGGGGACACGGATTGGCAACAGCTCGAAGTGGTCTCGAGCTGCTGCAAGACGGTGAGGGAATCGGGGAAGGTCTATCCTTCTCCGAGGCGTGCTCACGTGCAGTACTGAGGGACACCGGTGCGTTCCGTGGGAGATCCCGGATCCCTCCAAACGTACAGGGGATGGCCACCGAGGGGGTTTTAGTGCGTAAGACCACATAACCCTGTCATGTAAGGTGACAGGATATCTTTTGAAAATTTCCCCCCCGATACCAAAAAAAAAGGACAAATATCATATTGAAAACAAAAAGCCTGACCGTAACGTTAATAATGACCAAAAACGTTTTTATATGAAATACTTCGGTTTGAAACTCTTTTTGAGGTTTTTGAGGTTCTTTCTTTTTTTTTACTGAAGACATTATCAAGCTTATAAAAAACCAGACCAATTTATACTTATGTGCATCAAGATGCAAATAAAGCCGCAACTAACCAAGAAATACGCTGTGGGTAAGGTGGCAGAAAGAAGAGCTATTAGACATAGGAAGAAGTTGTGGCTGCGCAATAGCTTAGAATAGTTCGGAATCATAAGTGTCGCTGAGCTTTGCAACATAGCCAAAGACCGGGAAAAATTTGCTGTGTTGACTGCCAGACTTCACTAGTTGATAAGGCACTAGAAGAAGAATGTATAAAATCCGGACATTAAAGAATGAATGCTGCAAAGGGTGGAACCAGTGAATCTCTCAACTTCGCTGAATTTAGAGTACCTATAGCAGATATCTTATAGAAATATAAGACAGGTAACAGTACAAAGCGCAAAAGTGATATTGAATGTCTCATTCAAGATAAGAAGAAGAAAGGTCTAGCTAAACATTCCTCCAAAAGATATGAGGTTGGATCAATGTGACATTCAAATTTCCAGGCTGCACAGGGTCACCACAAACAGTTTACGAAAAATGTGGGGTAAGCATTTGCTATAATAAAGCAAATAATTGTTTAAAAAAAATTCTTTTTTCATTACTTCTTTTAAAATTTTTAAGCATTATTTATAAAGCAATGTGGTATTTCTGCAACACATAGTCTTTTTGCAATATGATTATTTAAATTATTTTTCCCATTAATAAATCCCCATTTGAAAATTAAAATATATAATGACCTGGCGCCGTAAAGGGTTAAATGTTTAGTACGTTCAGGAGTGCCAGTCTGAAACTCTGAAATATATTATCTGTTTAAAAAGAAGTACATACAACAATTTTTGAAGCAGTCTGTGGAATGAAATGAAGTGAAACAATTGAAAGAAAGAAATAGACATGCACTTAAACGAATGTATAATAAACTTTGAATAATTTATCAGTGAATTATTTAACTAAAAGTGTACTACGTAGTTAACACGCATGTAAGTTACATTGTTAAGGAGTCAAAAATGAGATAATAGACAAAATTAAATAAAAAAGGAAACGTCATATTGTGAAGTGGCGCTGATGCCATAGGTTTTACTTCATGAGAGCGACAGAGACCTACTGATATTTTATTTATTACTTCTTTTCGTAGTGTCCATTCATTTTTCAACGATCCACAAGATAGAATAACTCTTAGATTAAAATATAAAACGGTATATCGTTGAGGCTTTCTTCTGTCATCCATAATAAATATATTAATGTTTGTATTCATTCAAACTCAACAGATTTGCGACAGTATCCTTACAAATATTTAAACATACCTACATTGCTGTTTCCAGATACGAGAGTAACAATGAAGTATTATTGTGCCTGTAAATGAATAGTAAAAGAGAATAAAATAATCTATCTTGTCAATATAATCGTATCCGCAATGTTGAAAAGTACATTACCGAAAGATAAACCAGGCAAAATGAGAATAAGGGCATTCCCTGTGAGTATACCTATCTTTTTTGTGTCTATTTAACGAAATTTTTATTTCATTAGAAGTGTAGAAAAAGACTTATTACTATTGCTTTAAATTTAGATATATTATAAATATAGTGCTTATTTTTCATACACCCTTTCATTACATTTATTGGCACAAGTAAACCCATAAAAAATAAATACCAAAACATATATTGTAGTTCTGCTAAATATATTTTCTTATTATATATCATGTTACCTGTATGTAGCTAACACTTCTATATCTCTTAATCAAAAGTATTTGATAAATAATAGTTGTTTGTTTGGTGTTATATATTTTGAAGTTTCTTGGGCCTGAAAGTTATAACAACAATTCAATATTCTACCAACTACGTACAAGACATTTGCAAGATCAATATCTTGCAAATGTCTTATACAAAAACTGTTAACAAGAAATATACAAATAGATATACAAACAATTCCATTTACTTTAGAAAACATATGAAATTTATGAAACTCTATAGAATGAAACTAAAACAATATTTGTCTTCAAAATAATAAATTGGGCAATATGTAAAGATTAACATGATTATTGTATTCCCCACATTATGAACTGTTTTTATATTGTAAAGAGAATTTTTGTATCACCTAGTAAACACAATTTGTAAAGCTGGCAATGTGTATGACATTTATTCAAAAAAGGAAAACAATAAATTTTAACTTACAACAAAATTTTTGTGTGTAATATGTCACAAGCATAATTATTTTTGACAACAGTGAAAATATAAACATAGAATTGGTAACATTTGTTGAACCAATGTATTTGTAACTATTTGAAGCTTATACAATCTTGCATAACCATTAGTTGATAAGTAGCCAAAAATGACTAGAAAATTTCAAGTGTGGAACTATTCTGAACCATATTATCAAATGTATCCTGACACATGGGTTTGTATTTTATCCTTATTTCTTCATATGGATTAAATAAGACATAATAATAATTAATTAATATAATAATACTTATTTAAGATCAGTCAATGAATTAGGCTCGGTAAGTTATAATTATGAATTAAAGTGTCCACACTAAGTAATCAAAGGTGAAGATTTTTATATCACATTTTTTTACCTTTGTATTTATTGATTCATAGATGACGATGGATGAGAAGTATGTGGAAAGTATATGGACTTTATTGAAGAATGCAATTCAAGAAATTCAGAAAAAAAATAATTCAGGACTTTCCTTTGAGGAGCTCTACCGCAATGCATATACTATGGTTCTTCATAAGCATGGAGAAAGGCTCTATACAGGCTTAAAAGAAGTTGTAACTCACCATCTTGAAACTAAGGTATGCTTAGGTTTATATTACCTTCCTAATATAATATTTCATCATACCATTTTCTAAATATTTTTTCTAAACATTGAAGCCTGCAACTTGGATTGTTTTCAGGTACGTGAAGATGTGCTTCATTCTCTTCATAATGGATTTTTGCAAACTTTAAACTATGCTTGGACTGACCATCAAACTAGTATGGTTATGATCCGCGATATTTTAATGTACATGGATAGGGTATATGTACAGCAAAATGATGTGGACAATGTATACAATCTGGGACTTATAATTTTTCGAGATCAGGTTTGTACTTGAACTTTATCATTTTTCTGTCACTGTTATATAACATCTAAAATTAATTTTTAATACTAATATAATAGTTTTAAGTTCTCAACTTTAATGCTTCTATTCCTAATTCTATCCATAATTACAGGTTGTTCGATATGGCTGCATTCGTGACCATTTGCGACAAACTCTCCTAGAATTAGTTGCTAGGGAACGTCGTGGCGAGGTTGTCGATAGGCTGGCAATCCGCAATGCTTGTCAAATGCTAATGGTGTTGGGTATAAACTCTCGCGCCGTCTATGAAGAAGACTTTGAGAAGCCCTTTTTGCATCAGTCTGCTGAGTTTTATAGAGTGAGATTTCTCAGAAATAAGTATTAAGATAATGTTTCTATGTAAAATTATAATATTCTATATATTTTCTAATTTTGATTGGTACTCTAATTAACCCTTTAAAATATGACATTTGGATACAAGTATAAATTATACATATATTTTAATCTAGATGGAATCTCAAAAGTTCTTGGCGGAGAACAGCGCCGCAGTGTACATAGCTCGTGTCGAAGCACGTATTGGCGAGGAGGCGGAGCGTGCGCGTCACTACCTCGACGAGACCACGGAGCCCCGAGTGATCGCCGTGCTCGAGCACGAACTGATTGAGCGCCATATGAAGACCATTGTTGAGGTTAATGCTCATACAAAACTAAATAATATGTTTGTTCATTGGACAGCATCTGTTTTAAAAACCAAAAATATGTCATATGGTCATCAGATGGCACCATCCTACATATTTCAGACAGAGACATAACAAGTACAATTAACTAGCAATTAAATGCTTTAATATTTAATAAATTATTATTATCATATAAAGTAAATTAATGTTTTAAAAATAATCACATCTGAATCAGCGCAGTCAGTGTAGATACTGACTGCGCTGACTGCGAAATCTATTATTTAGAACTATATATTGGTCCCCAAAAAAAGTTAAGTGGTGAGTTTGTTTAAGAAAAACGAGTCTTTGCCGCCTGTTTAATTGTCGTTATCACGACGGATGTATGTTGACAATGGGAAAACAGAACAAGTGTATGTACGCGGGCAGATGGAGAACTCGGGCGTGGTGCACATGCTGATGCACACGCGCACCGCGGAGCTGGCGTGCGTGTACAAGTTGCTCTCGCGGGTGCCGGAGGGGCTGCGCACGGTGGCCGACGCGGTGTCGGCGCACCTGCGCGAGCAGGGCCGCGCCCTCGTCACCGACACGCACCACAACACCAACGCCATCGCGTTCGTGCAGGTGCGCGCGATCATCTTTTATAATAAATAAATAAATATTTCGGGACACATTTGTACACAACGTTCTCTAATCCCAAACTAAGCAACGCTTGTACTATGGTTACTAGATAACCAATATACATACATAATTTTTTTTTAAATAAATACATTATATAAACACACATACACTAGAAAAACACCATGTTCATCACACAATATTTTTCTAGTAGTGGGGATCGAACCCACACCCTCTGGCGCAGAAGTCAGGTACACTACCCACTACGCCATTCGGGTCGTCAGATAATATAGATGACGCGAGTCTATTTCGATTAAATTAAGACATTAAACAGGTCCATCTCTCAGTTTTACTGTGACTAATCACAATGATAATTGTTAACAAAAAACCAACTTCAAACAAGAAACTAAAAACATTGTATAAACAATACCTATAACATTCGAGTATTACCCTCTCTTTCTCTGGGATGCGGGTTTCTTCAGATCCGGGTTTCCTTATCATGGTGCCATTGGGATATCTTCTTTCCAACATAAAAAAAAATAAAAATATATATGGTCGAATTGAGAAACCATCTCCTTTTTTTGAAGTCGGTTAAAAACAGAATGCTCCATCAGGGAAGAGTGACAGATTTAACGCACTTCTCAATCTGGTTAGTCAGAAATAAAATACAAAAAATGCTCCATCAGGGGAGACAGATTCGACTAGCTTCTTACATTCTTCATTCAGAGCAATGTAATGAAAACTTTTGACTCTTACTGCATTTGGAAGTGTTAATTATTTTGAAGGAAATTCCCTGGGCAGAGAAACTATATAAATATCTTAATTATTAGGTGTAAAGCATCTAATGTCTAATTGGCGATAATGAATTACTTTCACAGACCTATTGTATATACATCGGGAAAGGATAAGATGATTTGTGTTTCTTTTTTTCTCTTTGTGTACAGATTAAACTTATTTTCAAGCAATTAAATTGACATTTCAGAATCTCCTGGATCTGAAGGACAGATTTGACCACTTCCTCCACAACTCATTCAACAATGATAAGATATTTAAGCACATGATTGCCGCTGATTTTGAATATTTCCTCAATTTAAATAACAAATCTCCGGAATTCCTCTCCCTGTTCATTGACGGAAAATTGAAAAAGGGCGAGAAAGGAGTAAGTAAATCAATTAATATTTTTTTATAATATTACTTATTTTAAAAATTATGTATATTATTTATCAGATGAGTGAACAAGAAATTGAAGCAGTCCTTGACAAAACAATGGTACTATTCCGCTTTCTCCAAGAAAAGGATGTTTTTGAACGCTACTATAAGCAGCATCTCGCGAAACGTTTATTGCTTAACAAATCTGTCTCAGATGATAGCGAGAAAAATATGATCTCCAAACTGAAGGTAAATTATGAATAAGGCCATTTAATTATTAATTCATAAAGGTGATGCAAATGCGAGCATGAGCAAACCATAGAAAATATGAAGTAAACAAATGTGTGCTTCATATTTTCTATGGTTTTATTATTTTTTGAAAAGTATCTCGCTAGCTTTAACTAATCAAATTAGGCTAGTGTCAAATTTTAATCCCAAACAATTGCGTTATTTATATAGAATTTATTACAATCTACCTTTTTTATAAATATAAATAATGCAATTATTTTAAAAAGTGTATTTTTATTATTTATTGTGCAGTTAATGCAAATCTTGAATGTTTGTATCTCATTTTGTTCCTCAGAAAGAAGGTTTGTTAAAAGATATGGAGCCAAGAGTATTTCATTGCATTATTGGCGATGTCTCACAAATAGATTCCCCAGTTAATGAGTAACCTACCATAAACTATAGAAGTACCCCACATTCATAACATACTCCACATATTTCTGCAAAATTCTTTACAATACCCAAAGATAAAATATATTCGTAAGTGAACTTCGTTAACTTGAAAATTGGATTTCTTGTAGTGTAATTACATCTTGCTTAAAGTCTATTAAAATATTTTTATATATTTTGCCACTTTTAAAGTAAAGAATTTTGCAGATACTAATATTGTTTTTAAAGACTTTAAGCAGGATTGTTCTCCTTAAAGTAATTGACATTAATATAATTAAAGGCCAACTAATTTTACATTATGTAATTCCTCTTAATGTCTAATGCCATTTGATATTTAATATTTTAACAATCAACAAATATCAACTGTAATTATGTAAGTGAAATAGCTGTATGTTTATTCAGATTTCCGTTTAGCAGACATTGGTAAAGAAAATCATAGTATATTCATTTTCATCATTTTCAAAAATCTATTTTCATCGCAAACTAAAATATTTTACAATTAGATGTTTGATATTGTCATAGCAATATCCGTATACAGGTTATATTTTATTGCCTTTATTTAACTAAAGCTTTAATGGTGATGATGGTGGTAAAGGGGTTGACTTTACCAGTTTAATATCATCAGCATCTTACGTGGATCCAACCTGGGTGGGACAGTGTGAATCTTGTCATTTGTGGTTATGACAATTTTTTACGACCGACCGCCTATCTGACGTCAACTCTCCAGAAGGGTTGATGAATGTGGGTCAAGTTCCGTATGGGAACCGAACCTACGACCACGGACGCTGAAGCCAATATCTTAGCAGCTGCCATCATCGCCCAACATCTTAGCTTCGAGGTTCATTTCTATCAGTAAATAGGATAATTAATTTAAGATCACATATCGATACTATATCGTATTGAGAATTGCTACCCCTTTGTATATACGCACTTTAAATTAGTCATTAAAACTAATAAGCAATGAAAAATTATTATTAAGTAAAGTATTAAAGCTGTTTATTAACAAAGTTGATACTGTGCAAAACACATCGTCATGATGATGCATAATAATATTTTTGTATCCTTTGTATTTCAGACTGAATGTGGTTGTCAATTTACATCAAAGCTGGAAGGAATGTTTAAGGACATGACTGTCTCCAATACTATTATGGAAGAATTCAAGGAACATGTGCTTTCTGCAGGGGTAACTTTTGAAATCTTATAAGTGAACTTGATGGTTTAACTTACTCAATAGTAACAATTGACCCTTTTCTATTTGAATTGCAGACAAACCTGCATGGTGTAGACCTTTCGGTTCGCGTTCTGACTACTGGCTTTTGGCCGACCCAGAGCGCCACACCCAAATGCAATATACCAACAGCTCCGAGAAACGCCTTCGATGTGTTTAGAAGGTGAGACATTTATTTCTTTTTAAATTTATGGAACAATAGCGTAAAAATATATGCACTTGGAGAAAAAATCAATTTACTATAAGCGCAGAAAATCAGTAAATTAATTTGCATTTAATAGTTACGACGATTACACGCAAATTTTAATATTGGAATATTTTCTTTTTATATTATATAAGAACCACAATATGCTTTCAAGGCTGTTTAACGTACCTATATGTATATGGGATGTCTATCCCAATGTTTATCAATGAACCGTGTATTTAGCTGTACGCTTGGAATATTCCTTAATATTCTTTGAAAGGTATTTTTTGTCGGAACGCCATAACTTCCTTAATTCTTCATTAAATTCAATGTTTCAAAGACGATTTTAATAACACCATTCTTCTTGATATTTATGTATGCGCTCGCGCACCTGAGCATTCAGATAGATAGCGCCAAACTGTACGGTGCTTCGTCCATACAAGCGAACTTGGTGCGCACCGTGTTCCCATGTTCACCATGTTCGATGTAAGAGCAATCGAATCGACCGATCACACATAAATAATGATAATGTATCGCGCACAGTGCTCCAGACGACCGAATATAGTTCGTTCTAAATGTTATATTCGTCGAATGACTACGTTCGAGCCGTCATAACGTAAAGACGGGAGTCGCGCCGGGCGAGTCGATCCGTGCCGCGCCGGAGTTAAGGGCCATTTTGCGCCGGCAGCTTCTACCTGGCGAAGCACTCGGGGCGGCAGCTGTCGCTGCAGCCGCAGCTGGGCAGCGCGGACCTGCACGCCACGTTCCGCGCGCTGGCGGGCGGCGGCGGGGGCGCGGGGGGAGGGTCGCCGCCGCGCTCGCCGCCCCCCGCCCCGCCGCCCGCCGCGCCCCGCAAGCACATCATACAGGTGTCCACCTTCCAGATGTGCGTGCTGCTGCTCTTCAACAAACGCGAGCGGCTCACATACGAGGTACGCGCGAGCACTCGCTATGCATCGTATCATGTTTCGAAAAATGTTCGGGAATGTCTTTTTTTTTTTTTTTTTGGGTAAGTACAACGACCTCACAGAAGACCGGCGTAAAGTGGAAGTACAATACTTTCGCGTTTCGTCTGGTGAGTGAGGTGGCCGGAGCCCAATTTTCAAAAGGTTGTCAACGCACCTGCAACCCTCGGGTGTAGTAGATGTCCATGGGCGGCGGTATTCACTTGACATCAGGTGAACCGCCTGCTCCCTTGGCAACTTTTCACATAAAAAAAACACGTTCCGATTTCAAATGTAGCGTCTTGAGATCGATACGTGCTCCAGGATTAGCATCTTATATGAATAGCGCTTCACTTTACGGTTACTACCGCCTACAGTGGGATACGCAACGACGGCTCGGCTTCGGTGCACCGGTCGTACCTTACATGATAAGACGTATAACTATTAAATTTCGATATTTCGACATCAGGCAGGCTTACCGTGGTCGGTGCTTCCTCTTTGAGCATAGACTACTAGACGACTCTAGAGAGTCAAAATATAAATATTATCTAACTCGTCTTTATTATACTATCCATCAATCAAACATTGATGTGAATGAACTCTGCCCTAGGAAATACTCAACGAGACTGACATTCCCGAAAAAGACCTCGTGCGCGCCTTGCAGTCCTTAGCGATGGGGAAACCAACACAGCGAGTGCTCATAAAACACCCCAAAACTAAGGAGATAGAGCCTTCTCATCAGTTTTACGTTAATGACGCCTTCACATCTAAGTTACATAGGTATGTAAAAGTATTTTTTTGTATTAGCGCGGGAAAACATGTAAGAGCGACCTCTTTCTTAAGTTTACTTTTGATATGTCTGTTTGTAATAGTTTTAAAATATATCGCCTTATTGAAGCAGTTGCCGATAAACATGTTATGGAGACGGATGCGGTATCGTAACAAGACTTGATACGTTGTATTGTCTATTTTGCGGCAGCATTTGAAATGCACTCAATATCCGAAACAGATTCGCTTTTGTCATTGAAACTAATCGACGTCTATAAATAGAGTATTTTATTTCTTTTAAGTATTTCTTTCAGTCAAGAAGGAATGAAACATGTTGAATATCAGACATGTATAATAAATGAAGCAAAATAATTTTATTTTTATTAGGAAAACTTACAGCAATTAAGTACATATTTTAAAACAATACTGTACTATATATAAAGAGCCAATTACAAGTTTAAACCTTAGTACATAATTATGTTTTAAGAAAAGTCGAGCAAGTACTAAAAATTGTAATTAACTATTTTTAAGAAAATTATTGCTCTGTTAAAGTTTCTTCAGCCACAATTGGACAAGTAAAGAATGGAATAGCTATGAAGATACTGATAAATATTTTTTTTTTTTTTTTGCAAATTGTAGCATGTACGGATTTTCCGGAGTGAAAACTCAACGTGCCTTAACGTGGGCGCTGAAGTTGTTTGTACCTACAGTTCGTGTGACAAATTAGAAGGTGCGCTATTCGGCAGAGTTAAGATCCAGACGGTGGCGGCGAAGGGCGAGTCGGAGCCGGAGCGGCGCGAGACCCGCAACAAGGTGGACGAGGACCGCAAGCACGAGATCGAGGCGGCGATCGTGCGCATCATGAAGGCGAGGAAGCGGATGCCGGTAAGCGGCCACATGCGCGGCCTTAAACTGGGGCTAAACGGGCCTGCGCCTCGCTATCTGATATGCCGATATGATTAACTGGACTGAAATGAATGAATGCGAACATCTAGTCATGTATCATATTATTGGATGTTATTTTAATTGTAATGTTGCCTTGCTTTAATTGTAATATTAAATGTGAAGGAATTGAACCTCGACTTTAACACCCTTTGCATTGATTCAATTCAATTATTAATTCACCTCACTCTCACACACAAACACGCGTAGTTCTTTGCCTGATATATTGTCGAAACAAATGTTTCGCAGCCAAATAACCGACACAAGGTCCGTCTGCGCGACTTTCATCTAATAATCCTCTAAAGAAGCCACTGGTACGTGCGCAACTGTGGGAAACGTTCTAAAGGGGCTGGTGCTCGCCCATCTGGTGGTACTTAAGCGAACGAGCTGGGTAGAGTTACCGTGGCTCGTGCCCGCCCACCGAGTGGTGACGCGGTATGAGCTGGGCAAAAGTAACCAGGTGGCGCGCGTGCATGTTCCAGCACACGCTGCTGGTGGCCGAGGTGACGGAGCAGCTGCGCTCGCGCTTCCTGCCCTCGCCGGTGGTGATCAAGAAGCGCATCGAGGGCCTCATCGAGCGCGAGTACTTGGCGCGCACCCCCGACGACCGCAAGGTCTACACCTACGTGGCGTAGGTTCGTGCCCGACCGAATAGCCAACGCCTAGCGCCTAACGCAACCGCTTCGATACTCTCTACTCGGGACCCCCCTCTCCTTTCCCCTCCCCGTATAGTCTGTCTCTTACTGAGAAAACGGCCCCAATCCGTACGTCAATAGAATGCAGATAGATAAATAAATATGTGTAGAGAAGCCCCCCATCACCTTCCTCCTCCCCTCCGCGTATAGTTTCTCTTGACTTAGAAGACTCCCATTCCGTATGGCAATAGAACGCAGATAGATAAATCTATGTATGTAAAGAAGTTTTGTGTATATATAAATACATACATATTTATATATACATATTTTATGTTCAATGCGGCTTCAGTCTCATCCTTTCAATGTATCATAAAAGTGTTCCTCGTGATTTCTTAGAGTAGTTACATTGAATAAAATATTTCTCTTTTATAACGAAATGTTTTATTATTGCCACGACACCCCATTATGTCGGCGAAGCGGACTTTGTAAAGGGCCTGTAGTGGACGTGTAGCCTAAAATGGGTTTTGTTTTCAGGCCATCCAATTGGGGAGTCACTTTGTCCACGATGGGTGGATGCCAAGTTAAAGTGATTGAATATTTAAATTATTTCAAAATAAAAATTATTAGTTATCAGTGAGAGTTATTTTATTTGGTTTACAATATAGCGATACATAGAAAAATAATTAGGTAAATATTGACTCTGCAGATGTTGCATTCGTTCGGTGAAAGTGGGAGAAAGAAATCCCGCGGCAAATTGAGATTCAAATGTGGAGGTCCAGCGAGATCGTACTGCGTCAATTTGTTCAAATTTATAAAGTTTATATCAATAGTGATTACAGCCGAAAACTGTTCAGTGCTAAATGTTACGTTCCTTTCGAATCCAACTAACTGAGCACTTAATATCCTATTTTCTTCTACCTGTCTATCACTGAAATCGGCATACGTAAAAATAAAGGCGACTCTAGTCTGCAAGTTGAAGCAATGTAGTTTCGAGCGTTGGGAATGAAATTCACCATACGTAAACTGTTTGTTGGGTTCCATCGGTAACCAATTATCATCATTGACGTTTTCCGGATTACCGTATGGCGAAATATACGTTTTGCGATCGACCGACAGCATTTTATCGATATGGCTCTGGACGCTAGTGCAAGCTTCCGTGCCATTGGTAAAAGGTTTTAACCTAATAGAAATTTTGCATTTCATTCTCTTGTTGTAACCAAACTGTAGGTCCTTCTTCGTGATTCGAGATTTAACGCAAGCGCCGCCGCTGTTGCTGGGCAAAGACAGTACGTTTTCTGTACTTTTGTTAAAAAAGTGATAGGTGTGGTTGGTCTCTGCGAACGACACGATTATAGGCAAGCCCATTACGTATCCGGGGTTCCCGCTCAACTTCACAGGTCTTACAATTGAAGCGTTCCCCATGAGGAACTGCACGTTGACTTCTTGCGTCATATATTTTAATGTGACCGGCACCCTTTGAGCGTACAACTTGATTTCGGCACTGACAATTTTCGTGTCGAAAACGTGGAAGACATACTCTAACTTCTGAGCTACATTGCTGCACCAACTGTCCGTGCATTTCGGTTCGTGTAAGCTTTTGTTATAAGATACACAGTCCTGGTCGTCGCAGTAAGTGATTGTCCAGTTACTGCAATAAAGGGACGAGCAATTCTGCAATTGAAATTAAATTAATATGTTTATAATTTAAAACTTACATAAAAAATTTAGGCTTTAAATTAAATGAGTTTAAAATAAAAATGTAATGTTACCATATGAGTGTTGTTCAACGAATGATTGGTGACACTGATAACTGCGGATTGTTCGACCGTTTTAAGAACACGAAACATTTCAAGATCTTTGTATTTTAGTTGACAGGTAATTTTTTCGTTCCTCAAAAATTTCATTGGGCGTCGGACATTGCAATAGTTGTTTGTTATAGAAGCTGGCAAATCTAAAAACATTCATAGCTATTACCAAATCCCTTCAGCTAACTTTGTACAGATTATTAAAAACGGGAAAGAGAACAGAAATTTTAAAAACGGGCATATTTACTTGAATATATATGAATAATAAAAATGAATTTATGGCATGGTTTAAACTAAATAAGATAGATTTTATTTATACATACCCAAATGATCTACGGATTTGTTCCTTAAAACCCAAACAAGGTCATCATTACTATAGAAGTTTCTTTTGAAGTCATGAGAAGTTGCTGTTTTATAATTATCATGCCATAAAAACGCATCTTTAATTAGTACTTTATTAATCTAAAACCAAAAATTTAAAATGTAAAGATGAACTTGGTCTAAAGTTAAAATTGTTATGTAGGTAACTATAACATTGATATTCAATTTTATTTCGAGTGCAGAGGCTAGCACTAAAAATAAAATTATTCATACAAATACCTTCTGTTTAATTATAATCCTTTTTTCAGGCAAGTTTGTTTTAACTATGCAGAAAAAACTATTGAAGCCTTCAATACCATCAGCATCACATTTAAACTGTTCCCAGGATTCTTTTTTACGACTTATCAGAGTTTCTGGTTTGCACTGGCCAAACAATTCTTTTTCTTTTGCTGTACACTCAACGTCACAACAACAATGAAGGTCACATTGCTTGTACTATATAGTAAAATTATTATTTTTATTTATTTCTATTTGCTACTTGTTACTATTAAATATATCAATTTGAAAAACAGAAAAAACTTACCAACAAATCGCAGAAACATTTATCCTTATTTCTTATTTTATTTACAGCTACGTTCGGTTTGATAGTTGTGGAAGTCTTTTCAAACAAAGTAATCTCTGTGACATTATCTAATTCCGTGCTGGTAAACAATGTTTCAGTTGTGGATCCATATGTCTCCGAAACGTTATCGTCATCATATATCAAATCGAAAACTGTTAATGACACATCAGTTGTCGGGGAAATAAAATCCTGATTGGATAGGGGTAACATCGAAGTGTTCACGTATTTTTCAACAGATAACCCACTTCTTTCTTCATGTGCATTGTTTTTTTTTAAACGATAATATAAAGCGTGGGCATCGGATGCGTATTCTTTTAGAATGCCAATGGAATAGTTATTGCTTTCATTAGTAGAATTGAGATAAATCGGAGAGTCGTCAGGTACAACAATCTTATCTTGTATAAAGTCCATAACACAGAATTGTATTACCACTGATAATAGGGTAAAAGCGAAATAAGTAAGCGGTCTCATATTTTTATTTATATTCTACGCCAAATTTATTGAAATTCCTTAGCACAATATCAATGTTTAAGTCTATATTTCCTTTTGATTGAGTAGTTAACTTAAACCTAGAAAAAAAGAAGATCAAAGATCATTATGGTGATAATTAATATGATATAGTTCCTACATTCTGGCTTACCTATCTAAACCTATGCTTATAATATCAGTTTGAGTAAGTTGATGTGATCCTCCAAGGAAATATTGACGAATTTTATCTGAAATAGTTGTAGCTGCAGGCACCCAACATGGCACATTTAAGCGATAATTTCCTGGGGCTATAGGCAAATTGCAACACCCATATCCAACAGTCCACGACCGCCCCACTAAATCAAGACAACTTACGTGAAAACTTATCTTGGGCCACCCTAAAAATAAAAATTGATATGAGGTGAACGACAAATTAATATTATATAGTACCTATATGTAGGACATACTTTTACAAACTAGTTACAATTACTTAGCTTTACTACATGTATATAATTATATATATGAGGTGGCCTGATAACTAATAAACGTAATTAAATGTACGTCTCTATTGTATATACATACGATATGTATATATACATATAGTAATAAATAGTCATTAACTAAAATATTAAGAAAATTAAATAAATCAAGCACATTTTCTCAGTGCTAAAACACAAAATCAGTGATTAAATGTATTATTGAAAATATTTGGCCATCAGATTTCATCATTTTATTTTTGTCTATTGATTAAAATTAAAACTGGCCAAGTGTGAGTCGGACGCGCGGATGAAGGGTTCCGTACCATTATCTATAAAACGGCAAAAAGAATCATGTCTGTTGTATAGGAACCCCACCTAAATATTTTTTACCATCCGTGAAAATTGCAACTGTTTAACTATCACGGTTCATGAGATACAGCCAGCAGCCTGGTGATAGACGGACAGTAACAGACAGCGGAGTCTTAGTAATAGGATCGCGCTCCTTTGGGTACGTAACCCTAAAAATGTGTACGAAAAACGCGCAGGCCTCTATGATAAACCTATTTTATAATAATTAGTTTTAATAATAGTTTGTTTATAATAGTTTTTTCAATAGAATACCACAAAATTTCTTTTGTTCCAAAAAAAATAATTCCTCACGTTACAAAAATGTCATACCTGGAATTCCTTTTGTTATGTAATGAACATCAACAGGATGTGACCAAAACACGTAATTATCGTAATTTGTCTTTCCTGATACGGTTTGTCCTTCTGAACATCCAGCAATTAGAGTCCAGTTAGGTCCTTTAACCAATAAAATACATGAAATACTTTTCATACGGCAAATTTAAAACATTTTGCGTATACAAACCTGATTGAAAGGAAAATCTACAAAATAATGAATAGGACGATTCTTCTAAATTAGTTATGCCTCGTATTTGGCCAAGTATGTGCAATTCGGCCATGAGAATCTTTTACTTTTTATTAAAATTGTAATGACGACGTAAATATCGAACATAATGTTTACAACGTAGTTGCCATGGTAACAAACGCTTCTGGATGACAGGAACTATCTACGTTGGCTTCAATGAAGTGGCTCGTTTTATTTTTATAATTATAATATTTTTTAATAAAAAAATAATTCAATAACACACCCAGTGCCAGATTAACCAAGAAGCAGGAGTAGCAATTGCTACGGGCCCCGCGCCATAGGGGGCCCCGCATATTTAAACCCACTCATCTCTGCTTGAGCCTTAATTTTTATTAAATAACTTTTGAATTGTTTTTTACCACTTTATCCTTAAGAACACATAGCAGATTGAGGCCAGTTTGAAATAATTTGCTACGGGCCCCGCGCTTGCTTAATTCGGCACTGGGCACAGCACCATTTGGACGCATCGGGTGTCATAGTAAGTAGTAATACCTTAAAAGAGGAGGCCCAATAACGCCAAAGTAGTAGAAAATTTCATCTTCGTGTTCCCGTGGCCCGGCCGATGCGGCAGAAACATGTTCAACATAGGCTATTAGTGTGTACCCGTTTTTGACCAGGACTCCCATATTGCCCTGCTAGTCCCCATCTGACGGTAAATCCACAAAGGATTTATCTCACGTAAAGAAAGAAGGCTTGTTGGAGAAGTATCAGAGCCTCAAAGAAGGCGGCGTTACCGCACGTACTATAAATAGCCGCATCTAGAATTTTTGGCCGAAACTAGGGATATTCGATATACATCGATGCATGGAAAACATCGATATTTACAATGCGATGCATCGAATCGATCCGATGTTTGGAAATGCTTTCGATATACTCGATGTATCGCTGTTTTTTCAGTTTTTAGTAGAAAAACATCGAATCGATTATAATAAATTACTTTCATAAAAACTCAAGTTTGACCACCAAAATTTTACCTATTTTTTATCCCTATTTGTTTATTTAAAAAATAAAAGTGTATTATTCAATAGTGGAGTGACAATATAATGTTGTTGCGGCCAACGTGTACTAAAAAATTATGTTGGTGGCACTGCGCACGAGTCAGTGACAAAAATTGCTGTTAATTTAACTTTTGGAAAAAAGCATATACCATGTTTCGCACATACTTTGAATTTGGTCGCACAAAATGCTATACAGCAGTGTACTAATCTGCGAAACTTGATAGCCAAACAGCTTGATAGCCAGTTTCGAATTACGTGAAGCAACCCAGAAAGAAACGAAATGGATACAAGAGGTCCCAACGAGATGGAACAGTACTTATTATATGATCGAGCGATTTTTGGAGCTTCGCAGCGTCGTCAATAATATAATCATTCGTCATAAAAATGCACCATCGATGCTAACTGCGTCACAATTATCTATTCTTTCTTCGGTTTTACAAATTCTGCGACCGATTGAAGCTGCAACTAAGGAAGTGTCAGGTGATAAGTACTGCACTAGCAGCAAAGTAATACCACTTATCCATTGTCTTCTTTTGAAAGTTAAACCTCTTAAAGTCGAAAAGTCTCTTGCCCAAGAATTGCAGTCATTGATCCTGAAAGAGATTGATAAGAGGATGGGTAGTAACTCCTCTCGCCATAGCCACAATCTTGGACCCCAGGTTTAAGAAAATGCATTTCACGGACTCACTCGCTTGCTCCATGGCTGTTTCAAAAATCAAGGAAATTATTAAAAATAGAGTACAAAATGAGTCCGTGGATTCGGATTCGTCAGATCAGTCTGACAAAGCAGAAGAAAAGTTTTCTCTGTGGGAAGATCACCACAAATTAGTCCAAAAGAGCTGGAAAACGGTGAAATCTGGCGATTCAATTTCAGATGAACTATCTATTTACTTACGTAGCCCAGTAGGTAGATTAAATGAGAACCCTTTAGAAATTTGGAATGATCTCAAGATTCAGCTCCCTAAACTTCATACAATTGCATACAAATACTTAACCATGGTAGGAACTTGAGTCCCATCTGAACGTTTGTTTTCGAAAGCGGCACAAATCGTCAATCAACAACGAAATAGACTGAAAGGCAAACGTTTAAATAAACTGTTGTTTTTGCAAAGTCTCTCAAAAGAATACTGGCAATAGGACATGACAGACTTAGCAAAATTATTGCGGATATTTTTTTTTATTCTTACGTAAATTACTATAAAGATTTGGCTTTTACTTTTTTTTAATAAAACACTGTTTGAATTAGTGATAGTATGTGATAGTATATATTGTGTGTGATAGTATATATTGTGTTGCAGTAGTATATCTGGTCTGTGTCGTGTGAATTCTATTTCTTAGTATTTGTTGTTATAGCGGCAACAGAAATACATAATCTGTGAAAATTTCAACTGTTTAAATATCACGGTTCATGTGGATACAGCCTGGTGATAGACGGACAGCGAAATATTAGAAACAGGATTCCGCTATTACCCTTTGGGTACGAAACCCTGAAAAAGTACTCGATGCGTATAAAATATCGATGTTTTCACCCGATACATCGAAAGACATCGATGTACAGTTCTGATTTATCGTATCGAAAAAAACATCGATGTTTTTTCAAAATGGACACCCCTAGCCGAAACTGAATCTTCGGTTAGGCACTTATATTTACCTAGTTTTTCGTCGCTGTGAGAATGGGAACCTACGTCCTCCAAGTTACGCGCCAGAGCTAAACAGCATATTTTCACACCGTCTCAACAATCTCAACGCATCATCCTTTACAGCAAACGAACACTTTTCATATGACATTTTAAAGTGAAATATTTAAAAACTAGAGTTTTCACCTGTGCTATTAAAATTTAACACACATATTATATAGAGGATAACTTTTTAAAATTGTATTAAAAATTTACATTCCTTAAACATCAATATTTACCGAGTTATTAAATTTTCCAAAACAAACAATTTTTAGAACACCCTTAAGTACAAAACTGTAACGTAAAGTTCATTTGTAAAGGTCACAAAGCATATGAATGGGTTGAATGAATTTAAGAGACGAAACATACTGTTAGAAGGAGAGGCTTGTAATGCGACGTTGTGGCAACGAATGAAAAAGTCTCTGAATGTATGAATCAGTCAATTGTTGTATAGAATGTTACAATTTTTGCTCTTTTTTACTTAATTAGTTTGTTTGAAAAATATTTTTTTAATTATGCATTTCTTTTAACGTTAATATTTTTTTTGACTATTGGCAAGTAGCGTTAGACGTGTGTTCATTTATTGTCGCCGTTGTAACGACACGCTGTATATATTTGTTAGAGAGATAGTATTATATCCGTCAATAATATTTTAAGACGCTCAATATTTTATGCTTGTTTTAATATAATTACTAATTATCTTCGAAATTACAAAATTTTTTTCAATCCCTATTTATATATAGGTATATTTTATATATTACAACTGTTTTAATATAAAAAAATAAGGATTAAATATTTACACAATTTACAAATTTAATACATTAAACCTGATATGTTTACATCTAACAGGTGTGTACAATATTTACAATATTGTCATAATAAAGTTAAAAAAATAATGAAAATATTAAAAAAATAACTAAGGGGTGAATATACAAAAATTGGGTAACTCGATGTCATCAGCCAATATATAAAAAGTCTTATTATATTTTATTGAGATACCAATTTATTTTAAAACAATGTAAAGTCCTTTATTTGGTCACACAATTTCAGCTCTTCATTTTAAATACAAGTTAATAAAAAAACACAATTAATGTTTAAAATGTCAGTCAAAATCGCGGCAAATATCACCGTCTCAACGTCAAATTCCTGTTTAAATTTTAATGTTGGTAATGAAGTTTGTTGCGGACCACACAATTGGAAGGCCGTCATAATTGTACCCAGTGCTTGGGTGGCGGGTTTATTATAATTTATATATAGTTAACTATAATTTGTTAAAATGTAGTTTGTTGATATTCGAAATTAACAATAAAAATATTAGTTCAGATTATAACCCAAAATTATGTCTTTTTCGTCAGTCCTTTGCCAGGTATCGCGCCAGAAGACTGACGTGTTTCCATGGTACTGAGGTTTTTTTTGTTTAAGAGTACTTTTATCTTAATTGCTACTGTATATAAGCATTTCTATTTTATACTTCAGTTTAAAACATCATGTGGCATGCTAAAAGCCTAGGGCCTAAGCTAAAGGCCTAAAAATTGACTAGGGAAGAAATACTAAAAAAAGAGAGAAGCCGAAAAGGCTACCGACACCATTAAATTAGCGGAATACAAAGAAAAACAAAAACTTAGGTACTCAAGGAAAAAAGAGAAAGGAGAAAGAAAAAATGTTGAAGACATCACACCACGAGAGCAACGAATAACTAAAAAAAATGGACAAATTATACATAAAATTACAGGCAAAGGAAATAGCTATTAAAACAAACCACTAATAATTTTATAAGCCAGAATACTCCACCACCGACTGACGACAAAATACAACCCATAGTTAATGAAGAAATCAGACCTGTTATAAACGAAGACCAAAGAGCAAAAGAAGCTAAAAAGAGAAGTGAAAGACAGAGAAAAAATAGAAACAGGGAAATAGAAAAGATAAAGGATAAAGTTTCAAACCTTAAAACTAAACCAAATACTCAGCGTCAAAAATATAAACGAGTAGAGAGAAAAAACTGCTAAAAGAATAGTAAAAACATTTAAAAAAAAAACGCCACAGACTAGAATTGAATACATGAGTGAAGATATAACTAAAAAGAAAGAATTAGTTAAGAAGGCCCCTTTTGGGGAAGCTATTAAAACACAATTGGAAGAAAATTACACTAAACTAAAAAATCATGAAGAAAGAATAAAATTAACCAAGTTAAATCTGGAAACTAGCGACCCGCACCGGCTTCGCACTGGTGCAATGTATTAAACATATAAACCTTCCTCTTGAATCACTCTATCTAGTAAAAAAAATGCATCAAGATCCGTTGCGTAGTTTTAAAGATCTAAGCTTACATAGGGATATACAGACAGACGGTACGACTTGTTTTATACTATGTAGTGATTCGATAACTCAAAACCAATATTAATAAAACAGTGGGCGAGTATGAAAGAGTCCATAACAGATCTGAAAACGAAGAAAGAACGATTTTTGATGTAAATGTCACCTAGAAATGCCATTGAAAATTTCATTGCACTTGAAAATGATATGGTTAAAATTTTCCGCCATTCTTTTAACGTATTACACCAGCTTAACGGAAGCCGTTGTACATATGGATTTTTCCGAAAATTTTTTAACTAAATATAACCAAGAAATTAAATTCTTCCTTTTCGGCGGTTCGCGAACCCAAATTTCATTGCATACTGTTGTAGTAAGTGTTTGTGTAAGTGAATAACGTTACGTTAAATGTCAAAATGCTGTTTTGAAAACTGAGATATATATTTTCTCCCAGTATTACGTATTAGTAATTATTTTAAGTGTTATTAAGTGATTTTAATACTTAAAAGACGTGCTATTATTAAATCCTAGGAGATTTATACAAATTTTAATTAAAAATCATTATAATTCTTACAAAACTGTGTATTTTATCAGTACTATGTTACCCTCGTCAGTCCCCTGGCAGTAAAATTCTTAAAATATGAAATATCTCAAAATCTACTCAAAAAAGTGACTGGCCCGATTTGGAACAATATATACATTAGATTAGCCATCATATAAACCCGAATTTGTAGAAATTTGATTTAATAACTATAGTAAACAAGATATCCTCAAGAGTGGGTAACTCTGGCTTTTGTATAATCACCCCTAAGTTTAAATGAATAAATAAATATTTAAATAAATAAAATCGAGCACAAACTAAATAAAATAACTTGCAGATTTGTAGTAAAAAATATAGGTTTAATGTGAAAAAAGATTCATACACAGCTAAAATTAATAAATTGAAACCAAATTATCACAATTTTAAAGCATTAATGTGATTCAAAAGCAGAACAGTAAAATCTTATAGCATAAAATATTATTATGGCCATTAATCTTAATTATCATAAAATGTATAATATAGTACTGGAGCAATGTGTCGGAAAGGAAAACAAGAGTCCGTTTATTGAACTATAAATGTACATGCAATATTGTAGCGCCATACACGCAACAACAGCGACTCCGCTGGACGTATTTGTTTTATTGTGTTAGGGCTGACAACCACCACAGAGCACTTTTGCCGTGTTTCATAGGTAGGGCTGCCGACGGTCAAAGAACAGCAGCGCTTTGACCGTGTTTCATAGGCAGGACCGCCAACGGTCAAAGAACAACATCGATTTTGCCGTGTTTCATAGGCAGGGCTGCCAACGGTCGAAGAACAGCATCGCTTTAGCCGTGTTTCATAGGTAGGGTTGCCAGCCGTGGAAGAGGCGCGACAGGTTGGCGGGGTCGGTGGCGGCGTGCAGCAGGCGCGCCACCTGCCCGGGAACGGAGACGGCGCCCGGCGCCCCGCCCTCCGCGCCGCTCAGCTTCCCCCCCACCGACAGCAACGCGCGCTCCGCCAGCCCGGAGCCGGCCGGCTCGCCCTCCCGTAGCGCTGCCACATTTCACCACCAAAGAGACATGAATGGTGGTAACATTTTTCTTACCACGTAAAAGTTTTCGCTAAAATCAACACTCAAAGCACCACAGACAGGAGCGATGATTCGGATTCGATTCGAATAAAGTACATAAACTACATAAAAATCGTAAGTCAACATCCAAAAACAAAACACGAACAAATGATAAAAACAGTTTCTATTGGGATAGCTCGAAATAAAGATACTACCGTATGAACTTCGAAGTAAAATGTTGAATTATCTATTAATATTAAAATATAAGTTGTTATTAAACATATTACTGGGGTAGCTTACAGTAAACACTGGAATTTTTTAGGGGTCCCTTCAAGGTCCATGAGTACAAAGGGTCGCATAAAAGCACCTCCAAAATCGTCAGTAAGGTTTCTTGATTATCGCGTAACAATTGCATTGTCTTCTCGCAGCACCTGCAATTTTAAAAATAGATCAAATATTTGATTAACAATTTTTATATCACTTAGACAAGTGCATTTCTACATTTAAAATAAATCGAATATTGAAAGTTTTCATTTGATGTTGTGTGAACAAAACAATGAACCAGAATGACGTCAATTGTTTTCCTTCCTTTTACGGAAAAAAAAGTATATCGATATTACCGTCTAAATATTCCTTCAACTCCACAGCATCCAAACCCAGCAATAATGTCCTGAGTTAAGCGGAATGGTATGGTTTCCGGTGTGGGAAGAGCTTTTCCTTGATCAAATGCGATACCTAAAATATAATAAACTACAAAATGTAACTAGCCTTAAATAAAAGTTGCGATTTAAGGTTACTGGTTTTACTTAAACCAATTTTATAAATTATGTAGCACTCATGATAGTTACCACAATTAATACATGAAATATTTTATTAATTAATATAATAACTAATACTTTACTAAAAGGTGCCAACGTGTCGGCAACCAACGAGTGTTCCAAATGTCCATGGGCGGCGGTTATCACTTATCATCAGATGAACCGCCACCTCACCCCCCCTCCCCCTTCTTCTCATATAAAAAGAATATATTTTTACTAACATAAAAAATATAGCACCTATAAAAATTTAATGAGGTTTATGCTAGCTTTATAATTTTTTCCCAAATACCAATTAAGATCACAAGAACATCGATTAAATAACCGTATCCTTTATAATTAAAAAAAAGAATCCGTTATAATACAAAAAAAAAGTGAATTGATGTAAGTATAATTAAAAATTACCTAAATCAATGTGTATGACTTCTGCCGTTTTCGTATCAATTAAAATATTTTGAACGTGTCTATCGCCTAAGCCCAAAATATAGCCCACCATCGAGGAGGTTGCAACGCTGGAAATTCAAATGTTATTTAAATAAAAAAAAACAACATTCACAGACAAAAGGCTTAAATGTAAAAAGGAAAAAAGAAGATAATATTAAAATATATATTACTTTAATTAATTCAAAATCGATTGACTTACATTTTAGCTATGAACCTACCGTTCTTTCAAGTAAGGTCAGCGTCAAAAGCTATTTATACATAGACTTAAAAAGCAATTTATTCATATGTATAGAGCTATTGCAATAAACCACCGACCTCCTTGTATAAGCGAGCCGCCGCTCGTACCACGTGATGGGATCGTGATAATGTTCGGTAAAGAAATTATGGAAAACGGGTTTAAAGTTCGCTAATATTGCCATGAAAACCCTCAACTTTTCTTGGTTAGACTTTCTGTTGTCATGGCAGGCCTTCAGTTTCGTTCGGGCCGCAGAAGGCGTAATATCCTGAAGAAAATAAATGCTCTTAGATCAACGCAAGATAGCTTTACGACCATTATAACAGTTTTTATTGAAAGTAAATTCTTTATTGTACAAAAAGTTTGTACAAAGGCGAAATTAATGCTATAATGAGTATAATATTTTAGTGTTGCTGAATTCTATATCACTGTTTGATTCCAGAATATCCATATTGAAAAAACGATCTTTATATATATGACGTTTATCTGTCACGGCCGTTTTTAACATTATATCTGTAGACTTGGTTAACAGCGATAGGTAATTGACTTCAGCTCCATAATATTTACGTGAAAATTCTATCTCCAGTAAACAAATCTACAGATATGGAGTTCCTTAAGCCGGTCGTTATTACGCAAATTAGTTGTGATAACAGCTCACCTTGGGCCGGCACCGCATGTGGGCTTCGATCAAATACGCACCCAGGGGCAACGTGCCCTCACACCATTCTAAAACACCTGAGCGTCGGGACATTGGCACAACCTGAAATTTCAAGAAAGTGATGTTCAATTGCTTTTCTTAGCTGGTCACATTTTTCATGTGAGAAGGTGACAAGGTAGTTGGGATTCACCTGAACTTATGTGATAACCGTCGCCAATGGATATTTGAAACACCCGTATGGTTGCAAATGCTTTGCCACCTTTTAATAAAGTGGACCCCGGTCACCTCACTTAGAAGAATAAACATAACTACTTCGCGCCGGTTTTCTGTGAGGTGGTGGTACTTCCGGACAGACCTGCCCATTCTTGCAACAGTGAAGACTGTTACGTGGGCCTACCCAAGCTCAATCTATCACTACCAAATATTACCAATAAGAAAAGTCATCCAGATTCGCGAAGAGTAGACACTATTCATTATTAAACTATATTACATGATTACTGGATCAAGGAATCCAGTATTATTAATATTGTACAGAATCCATAATGCTAAGTGTTAAGTATAATGTAACGCGATAAAAACCGTGGAACAGTTTAATTCTTAAAGATAATTATTAAGAACTAAAATTAGTTTATGGATTGACGAAGTCGGATTTATTTAAAGTATTTACTTGGCTTTTCTACTTTGGCCCTTAAGTGTAGTATTATTTTTTTATTTCAAAACAATATTAGGATAAATGTGTGACAGATATGATTTTACCTTATATGTTCGGACAAGAAGTTTATTTTTGTTGGTGATTGGATTATTTTCGAGCAATTTATTGACAATGTTGAACACTTGTTGCATCACGGCATCCTGTCTAAGGTCGTCTTCACCCTTAAATCGAAGAAAATTTTAGAAGAATAACAGTTAAGGTTAAGTGAGAGATTAATTATTACCTTATTTACTATTTAATTATTACCTTAATCAATAAAATTCTGCATTTACCGTCCGAACTACGACAAGTTATTTTCTTCGGATAGTTGATACCGCCTACTAGTTCAAAGTGGGTGCCGAATTCTGTTATGGCTGCAAATGAATTTATTATAAAAATGTAACATTATACGTAAAATATATATTCAGATTGTAATAGTTAACTAATAGCTTCACCCTCCAATTGTCTAAAAAAGTTACCATTCAGAAAGTTAAATTTATTTAATGACCTATATTATGACATGTACGATTTGTATATCCATAAATCAACACACCAAAACTTACTGGGCAAATTTGAATAACCTCCATTCTTCCTGATCGATAGCGTGATGGTTGGTACAGGTAGGGCGTCCAAATTGCGCAGTTTGGACAACGTCTCCGCAGCGGGGATCGGTTGCGGTTTCGCGTTGTTCGTCCTCGGAGTGAAGTACGCAAAGCTTATGAACGCTGTGGATCAGATAAGTGCTTATTGGTTAAACGGTAAATAGGCACTTATGTCATAACACGGAATATTTACACAAACGTTGGCGAATGATCATCAAGGATTAAGAAGTTATAGATATAATATATAAGTGATATTTAATATATAGACGGCACCACCGTCATCTTCTATCACAGTTTGGACTTAACAAGCCAGGACCTATAACTTGTAACGCGTGTACTTATACACACGCGTTACAAGTTATACTTTTTTGGACTAACAAGAAAAAAAATCTTTTTTTTTACGGTTCACCTGATGTTAAGTGAATACCGCCGACCATGGACATCTAGTACACCCGAGGCTTCCAGATGGGTTGACAACCTTTTGAAGATTGGGCTCCGGCTACCTCACTCACCAGACGAGACGCGAAAGTATTATACTATAATCTTTTCAAAAATGTTATCTTTCGCCTTATTCTACGTTTGTAGAAAAAACGACACTAACAATAGAGAAAAGGTATTTAATACATTGAAAGTTTTATTATAACACATTACCTAGTTAAATAAAGTTTACTTTAATATCACAAAATAAATATACCGAATACAGTTGTCAGTTCTCAATACAATCGCATACATACGTAGATGTCTAGCTAACTTCAGGGTGTCGGTTTTTGGTGACGGTGTGCGCATAAAAATTTACTCCCTTCATCCTAACGCGCCAAAAGAAGTATAACTTCAAAAACCCGTTATAGACGTTGATATTTGAGGGGCGGGTCGTAGCGTAGGGGCGTTACCGTCGCAGAGGCGCTCCACCTGTTCGTATTTGAGGGCAGGTCGGAGCGTAGGGGGCGTTACCGTCGCAGAGGCGCTCCACCTGTTCGTATTTGAGGGCGGGTCGGAGCGTAGAGGGCGTTACCGTCGCAGAGGCGCTCCACCTGTTCGTATTTGAGGGCGGGTCGGAGCGTAGGGGGCGTTACCGTCGCAGAGGCGCTCCACCTGTTCGTATTTGAGGGCGGGTCGGAGCGTAGAGGGCGTTACCGTCGCAGAGGCGCTCCACCTGTTCGTATTTGAGGGCGGGTCGGAGCGTAGGGGGCGTTACCGTCGCAGAGGCGCTCCATCTGCTGCACGAGGGGCGCCAGCAGTGGCCTGCGCGCCATCCCGCGGACGAGCGCGTCCGCGGCGGAGACGCGCGGCTCCGGCGTGTGCGGACGCGCTGCCCGAGAACTCGATCCCGCGCCCTTGCTCGCATTCAGTATGCAGCTGTCCTTGTCGGAGTTCTTCAGGTTGAACAGTATGGGCAGCGTGTGGTGGGGATGCTCCGTGGCGCACCTGTCTGATCATACACTTTTTTTGTTGGTACGCCACAACATCGGTATTTCTTCATCAAATAAATTGATTCAAACACCGTTTTAAAGCTTATGTTCACCGCTATTGATAAAAAACAGACCAGTAGGATAAACATAACGTATTCGTATAGTGCAGCATACCAATATTATTATAAAAAAATATTCCAATCAGTATTTAAATAACTAATGACTTGTATACAATGAGTATTTTAATATCAGTGTGATTCCACGTATTTTTTCAGTAAAACTTGTATATATAGCATTATAAGTTTTAACCTTCAACTTCATAGTCATCTGGGAATGTTTTCTTCGTATTTCATTAACCCGTATTGACCTTAAACTTACTAATACATAAAAAATAAAATAGGCATTAACTATTCTTCGTGTTTCTCACAATTTCATCAGATGCCGTGAATATCCATCGGGCGGTAATCATCGCTCACCCCCGGTTATCGGTTCCTCCTTCATCCCTCTCCGCGTTATAAGAAAAAAAATCTTACCTACCTAAAATATCCTTGAGGTATTTCGCAAAATCACTGGTCTCTGTTGTGATCCTCGGCGCCAATTGGGGTAGGACTGTTATAAACTTCCAAGAAGGCACCGCCTGCAAAAACTCTTGCAGTTTCGCTTTCCGCCCCACTTCAAATTCAAAACAAGGGTTGTCGAACCAAAGGGATATCACTCTGAATATCGAGAGATTGGTCTCCTCGCTATGCCTTAAAGACAGCAAGTAATACCTGAAAAAAGTAACGTTTCAAATAATGCGTGGTAGGGTCATGCAGCGCCGGCCCAAGGGCAGAGCAAGAGGAGCGATCGCTCTAGGCGCCAGTTATCAAGGGGCGCTAAAAACCTAGTACATAAAACAAGTTTCAAATAAAAAAAAAAACTTGTTGGCGCCTTTTGAAAGCGGGGCAGCTTTAGTTTACTAGGAAACAGATTTTAGTTTTTAGTGACTGATTATAAAGTACAACAAATTTAATACTTATTTAATTATAATTATGAGTAAGAGCTTTGTTAATGTTTGTCTTCAATTAGTTATGACAATACCTAAATAGATAACATATTATGTTATTATTGAGTGGCTAAAGGAAATTAACAAAAAAATTTTATTTAATTACTTAGCTGTAGATACTTTTTCAATGTTAAAGAAGCCGGGGTATTATAACTACAGCTACTTGATTTAATTTAAATTCAATTAGTTTACAGCAAATTGGTTTGAAAAAATGGGTTATTATTATTGGATGCATAAACTTTACCTCATTGCCAAATTGAGAAAACTCTCTTTCTCTAATCTGGTTCTGGAAACTTCATCTTCATCCATCTTCATAAATCGATCGTTGGTCGTTAAGGCTTTCCTTTCATCCCTGGAATATAAATCAAACATCGTTAATTTGGGTATGTTTTATTATAGTTTCATAAATATTTTATGAGTAACACAGCAGACTGACTTCGTTAGAGAATCCTGTGGCACTTTGAAGGATGCCGCAATCCCTTTCATACTTTCAATGCATTTAACTTTATTCTCGAAGACTGTGGAATTCATGTACGACACTATCTAAAAGAAAACAAATTTTAAAAGAAGAAGAAACATAACAAAAAGTCTTCTTTATAGCACTGGACTTGATAATTTATTTACCTGTTTATATTCAGCATCTGCAAATTTTGCAATATCGTGATACACCTTGTACGTAGTCTCTGCATGATCCGTTCTATTCAGGATTTCAAGGCTCTTTTCTAGATACTTGTTTATTATTTCTCTTGCATTTTCACGCCTGCTTTCCGCCATCCACAGTCCGTATTGTCTGAATAATTTATAAAGTAAAATCTAAAGCAACATCAAGAACAAGATTTAGTAAATTACATTAACATCAAGTTCCTCTTATTTTCAAGGACAAGTACATTTTATTTGTGTAAAATAAGGAATTTTAAAATAGTGTAACTGTGTGTACAATTAGTATTGTTTATTAATACTAATGTGGAGCCATGATAGCTCAGTGTCCATGCGCTCGCTTTAATTCAATATACTCGTGCAACCTGAGCTCCATTCCCGGTGCCGGCACCAATGTAATTGTTAATTTTAAGTACTGTATTATCACGTGCTCAGCGGTGAAGTAAAACATCGTGAGGAAACCGGCATATTTACGAAATAATAACTAGAAAAAAAAAATATTTCAAAGATATGTGAAGTCCGCCAATCCGCAGTGGAGTCGCCTGGTTGACTATCCTCTTTACAGAAGAGACCTTTGCTCAGCAATGGGATATATGTAGGCTGTTGCTTTACTTTACGAATATGGAGTAACATTATTCATAACACGTACAAAAAGGTGATCAACACCACCGATCAACACCGCTGTGAACGATCCGATATCGTTTACAGTTGATAGAAGGCGATTGAACTGACTAAAGCTGATTAAGTTGAACAAATAAATTGGAACCTTAAACACATTGCTGTCAACTTAACATCAGGTGTATGTTCGGTCACCACTCCGTGCAGCAATGCGAGTGCTATGTCCTTGTGCCCCTTTTCCCAAGCAATCTGGCTCTCCACAAACACAACTTTTTTTGTTGGTTTAAAATTTTTCACAGCCTGTAGGAGACGTTGGGAAAATTGAATCCTTTGATTCGATAGTGCCATATCTGTAAAGAACAAATTACGTTTAATACAAATGTTCGCTACGTGATCTATAAAAAGTATACGAGGCATTTCGCATTGGGGTGACGTGGTTAGACTGTGATCATGGGACATGTATAGCTATTATTTTGATTAGATTTACATACACAACGTGACGCTACTACCGCGACCTTAAACAGACACACGTATAGAGGCAAGTAGCGTTAGAAGTGTATTCATTTAAAGTCGCGGTTGTAGCACCATGCTGTACACAATAGGTCAATAAAGTTTTAATCCTTGCGACCTTTATCCTCGCCAAAAGAATAACTTGGCATCGAAACCATTAAACCTTTTGTTTATTTTACTTACCAACATACTGCAACTGCAAGTCAATTATATCTGATGACATGTTTTCATATTGTTTAGCGGCATGCTCCAGTATCAAGCTCCGTTGGGAGAGCAACGCCTCGAGATGTAGGAAGTTTTTATGAGAGGCCAACTTCTCCACTTGCCAACGGTCCAACAGTTCCGACGGACGGGTTCGTCCGCATCTTACAGAGCAATAATCCTCAATGTCGCGAAACAGGTGCAAGTTTGCAACCACTTTATAAACACTCTGGCAATTCTCCATATTGAGGATGCGGCACAGCTTAGAGGTTGCCAGCTTTGCCTTATTTAACAAGTGCATCAGGTTAACTCCAAACGCTTCACAAGGACGCGCGTTCAGACATTCTTTCAAACAAGCGTAACGGAACGATTTTATAATAACGTCGGCATCCCAAATCGCTTGCTTAGCTTTCTCCTCCAACTCTGTTGTATCCACAATCTCACTCCAATCACCTTTAATGAAAGATAGGAATATTAAGCGATTCAACATTATAATAACGGCCTTTGTAACAGCATTGTTGACTCCGTGGTGTATTTGCCATGGTTTTTGCTCGGGAGTCATGGTGTCGATTCACACTCGAGACAGCTATTTCTGTGACACACAGCAGACTTGTTTAAGATTTGGGTATTTGTCCATGTGCTACATCAAATGAATTTATATCCAATTTATGTATGCAAAACGCCCTTACAACCCATGAAATTGTAATCCTACAAAACTGCCCTTTTTTCATTTAAAAAAAAAAGGATTAATTATCACAAGTCTAATTCTGTTGGTTCGATTAACCACCCACGCATAATACACACACATTTTTCTCTATCAACCAGACAAAATGTTGCACAAAATTTGGAGAGATCAGAAATCAACAAAAAAGCCATTCGTTTAAGTCCAAAATCATTGATAAAACGTACGCAAAGTAATTACCAAGGTATGATAGGCAGTCGTATTTAACATCATCGAGGTCGTCATTTTCTGGGAAGGACTTAATGTACTGCAAGGCCAAGTGGTGCATTCCGGACTTGTGGAGGGACATGACGACGCCGTGCTGGAGGCTATTGTCCTCTTGGGCACCGTTCGAAAGGGCGATGTCGTGGAGCAGCAGAGCGTCTGAGTACTGGCCCGTGTTCAACAGATGCCTGCGCTTCTCCAGCTCGCTGGTCAAGTGGGCCGTGCCACAACCGTCCGTTGCGTCTAACTCTCCTATGGAAACGAAGCACTGGAAAGACGAAGGAGCGTTATCGACATTTAGTAAACATTAGGTAGGGCCACGCAACGGCTTCTGTTGAAGTATTAAACTTCCGCGTTCCATGTGGTGAGTGAGGTAACCGGGGCCAACTTTTTAAAAAGTTAGCAACGCATGGGCTAGCCATCGGATGTTGTAGATGTTCATGGACGGCGATATTCATTTAACATCAGGTGGACCACCTGCTCGCTTGATAACTTTTCACATAAAACAAAAACAACACAAAGCCAAAGCATCGCTTAAAATGTGAAAAAAAGAGTACATAAATGGGTTCGGCACCCGGATCGGCGAAAAACTTTTCTTCCATTTATTAACTAAGAAGAGACAAAATAAATCATACGCTTCGAAGAATCCTCTGCAAGTTTTCGCCGCCTTCGAGTTTGGCAGTGCCCTCTGGCGACGACGGAGGCACGCCACCATTCTCAGCCGCCGCCCAAAGCTCTGCGTAATAAATGGCGGCTATGTTCTTATCGGCCAGTGTAGCCGCCCATGCCAGTTTCTCATATTCCAATTTCATATGACGCAACGCATTAGGTTCGCGTAGTTTCCTAATTACGGGTTTGATTTTATTTATTAGTCACTTGGAATTCATCAGTATGCTGAAATTTATTAGAAAATATGCCACCTTTAATGTTACCTTATCTTTGAATGGTTGCGCTGTAAGCGTATAGTGTTGATCACATCCAATAAATAGTGAACAATCACTTTTTGATTGTGATTCAATAAACTGGTTATATTGGAGACGGCACGGTCCTCGCTGTTCACAACATTACAATTAAAGCTTTTGTCCCAAATATCGACGAATACTTGATTTATTTGTTTACCAATAATTTGTATTTGTTCTTCTGAAGAATTCTCGATTATTAGCCCTACTAATGGCGGCAAAATTTTTTCACATAAACTAGGCTGCAATGTTTTAAGATTGTGATATTTTCGTTCTTTTTATTATATTTCATAGAAAACATAATTGTACATTATACATACTACTAACCTTTAAATTACAAACAGAATGTAATGAACTCAAATAATTAGATGACGATGCCAATGCAGCCAGTAAAGACAGTGTTATCCGCTGGATCCATTGTAAATGTTCTTCATTAATCATCGGAACCCACAGGATTGATATACTATGAACTATGTATTGGGCGAATGATTCGCACGTTGCCGGTGTAAGACACACCAATATTTGGTTGTTAATCATTCCCAAATCTGAAAGGAATGTCTCTTACATTGAGTCTCAAGTGTGAGAAGGTGGCAAGCAGTTCACCTGGTGTTAAGTGATAACCACCGCCCATGGCTTAATACGTTGACCTTTAGTTATTTACTATCTCAATCATTTTTTCATATGAGAAGGTGGCAGGCGAGCTGGCGGTTCGCTTGATATTAAATGATAACCGCCGTCCAGGGACATTAACCGTAGAGTTGCAGATGCATTGCCACCTTTTAATAGAGTGGGCCCTGGCTACATCACTCACCAGACTAAACGTAGTATTACACGTCGTTAGTCCTCAGTGAGCTTGTGGTACCTCCCCGGACGATCCTGCCCCATCCGTACCAACAATTCATACAGATTACTACTTGGACCTAGAAACATCATGATAATCCGTGTAACAGTGAAATTTACTAGGCCAGCCACTACAGCACTACATAACAGCTTTGATGTTAGTCAAGAACTGGCCAATATTTAAGTAGAGAAAAAAAACTTTACCCACCTATGCTACATAATGAACCGTCCTTAAACTTCTTGAGATGATATAAAGCTTTTGCGACTCGGTAACTTACTGTCGGATCTTCATCAAAAATTATATCCAAAAGCGAGGTCACTGCGATGAACGCAAAATATAGCGTTGGTTTAACATCGATTAATTGTTTCGTGTCGCTTGGCGGTGCAGTCACCAAAGTTTTTAAATCGTACGTCCCAACATCCGCTAGACAATTGCTGACTTCAATTATCATCTGCATTGAACAAAAAAAAAACACTCATTTAATAAAATGTAATGTAGGATAAAGTAAATAAAAGTTTCAGATTTTTTTTAATCGATCAAATTTTAAATTTGACACGCAACAAACAAAACATTTTAAACTTTTAAAAAAAGAATATTATGTATACAGGGAGAATTTACAAAAAGTGCCCAAATTTACACAGAAAGTTCAGACTCGGTAGTATAAACGTTTATTAAAATAAAAACAAGCTTCTTTTTTTATAAAAATTTCCATAATATTCCATTAAAAACAGAACTTATTGACAATGCGGTAGTCATTCATAAATACTTAAATTTTACTGTGCACGCACACAAACAAAACGAAGCGCTCGCGACGATATTACGAAGTCCCGCGTCCGTCTCACCCGCGCCGGCACGGCGTCATAGTAGTGTATTAAGTGATGTTTTTGCTTTCAGTCCCGAGACTATTAAAGCTTCATCTGACGCAAAACCGGTGGGCTAGCCAGAACCCACGGGTTTGGGCCCTCCGCTGTGGGTAGGGCCACGCATGTGCTCATGCGTGCGTTTAACTATGGTGTGTCGTCTAAGGGCCATCGAGGTTCGGACCGAAACCCCGATGGCCGTCGACTGTGTTTTTAGCTAATCGGTGGCTGGAAGCGGTGAGAACCGCCCTGGAACGCGGGTGTACCTTGTGTACGCGTTGTGTTGGTCTCGCCGTGCTCGGAGGCGAGGGCGTACTAGTGTGTTTGTTGTTGCACTAACTGTGGGTGTAGTGTTATCCGACGAGACCCCCGGCGGTGGGTCGACGTATCTAGGTTCCATTCCTCGACTGTGTCGATGAGGACTGTGTTGTTAGCGTTCGCGTTTGTGTCGGGTTGCTGCGCGCTTACCACCAGAGGGTTGAGACGATGTTCGGCTCTATCGAAGAAAGATTATTATTTACCTAATAAGTTTGTTTGAAAAATATTTTTTTTAATTATGGATTTATGTAACGTTTTATTTTTTTTATGATTATTGGCAAGTAGCGTTAGACGTGTGTTTATTTATTGTGGCGGTTGTAACGACACGCTGTATATAGAGGGGACGAGTCTTGAAAATTTAACGAAAGTTTTAATATTTTAGTACTGTACAGTACACTAACAACTCTAACGTGTGTAAATGAATTACCACTAAACCCTTTGTGAAATACGTTTTTGTTATCCGTACATTTTAAAATTATTCATGAAGACGATAAAGCAAAAATAATAAAGTTGCTATATTATTGCCAGAATAAATGTAAATAATATGATTGTAATAATATGATAGGGTATCGAATTTCAGAGGTGAGCACAGACTCTCCCACCCAATACTATGCATATTATGGAAAAGATGGCCAATATTTAAATTACCTTGTCATCATTAGAAGTCTTCAAAATATTACTTAATGTCCATATAAGTTTATGTAATACACTGTTTACACATTCTTCTGAAAATCCTTTTCCATCTAGCTTATCCAAGGCATTCTTAACCAGTTTTTTATGAGCACACAGAAATTTTCTCATTTTCGAAATCGTTGCAATGCTAAAACGTATCCGTATTAATAATAAATAGAATTGGAACAAATAACAAAATGATTTATTATTTGTCACACTATATACCTCGGAAACGACAAGTTTTTTAAATACTTTTCCAGTTTTCGGGATACTTCATCCTCTGTATTATAAGTTTCTATAACTGCTTCAGTCATTATAACAGCATATGGATCGTAAACCCCTTTTAAATTTTTTATCATAAAGTTCAGAACTCTCCCACATTCTGAATTTTTTTGTTTTTTAAACAAAATTGACAGAATTTTGGAGAGTATAACTTCGTGATGCACTTGTTGCGATTTGAAGCTCTTAAGAAGCATATAAAGTGCTTTTGCTAACACTCCTAACTCATTATTCCTTTCAGTTTTTACTATGGCGCTAGCAATACTTTGCATTGCGAAATTACAAAGAACTGCATCAGAGGGAATCCCTAAGGGAATGATTCCGATAAAAGTTACAAAAGTGTGCAGAGATATAACTTTAAATTCGAACAAATTTTCCGAAATAACATTTTCCCACAGCACAAACAAAACTTTGAGTATGGCTAGGGGTTGATTTTCACAAAGATATTCCATGATGTTCCCATCAATTAGCTCCTGAAAGAACCAGCCTCCATTAATTGAGGAGCGTCAGAACAAAAACCGATAAATCACATTTTTTTTTTTTTTTAATTTCTCATCACATACTGCACGTATAAATCTTTGATTTGAATATCATAACAGTGTTACCAAGACCTGTAAACAAGTAAACTGGTCATCTCCAGATTAGAAATCCATAGACATACAAGGGGTGATCCAAAAGTAATGATAATGAAAATAAAACACGGTAATTAAAGTTAAAATAATAATTTATTTTTCTACATAGTCTCCTAAAAAATCAATACATTTAGTCCATCTTTTTTCTAAACCCAGGATTCCCTTTGAAAAAAATTCTTTGTCTTGACCCTCCCAAAACGCTTCAACAGCGGCCATTACTTCGCTATCGTCTTCGAATTTCTTGCCTCGGAGGCGTTCCTTGAGCCGAGGAAAAAGGTAGAAGTCACTAGGAGCTAGATCTGGCGAATAGGGAGGGTGTTCGAGCAGTTCGAATCCCGTTTCTTGAATGGCAGCCATCGCAACTGCGCTCGCAACTGTTGTGAGCCGGTGCGTAGTCTTGGTGAAACAGCACTCCAGCTCGCAGTTTGCCGCGTCTTTTTTCCTTAATGGCCTCCCGTAATCTTCTTATTTGGTCTGCGTAGTAAGTAAATAATAGTGGCTTCCTTTTCCAAATATTGCACCATAATTATGCCTTGAGCGTCCCAAAAAACAGATGCCATAATCTTTCCCGCCGAACTTGAAACTTTGAATTTCTTTGGCGTCGGTGAGGAGGCTCGCTTCCAAGTCAACGATTGTTGTTTCGTTTCAGGTTCAAAATGGTGGATCCAGGTCTCGTCCATAGTCACAAAACGGAACAAAAAATTTTCTTGATCTGCTTGGAACTTTTCGAGATTGACCCTCGAAATGTCAACTCGATTTTTCTTTTGCTCGTCGGTTAACGTTCTGGGTACCCAACGCGCCGAGACCTTTTTCATATGCAACTCGTTCGCAAGGATTCTTTGAACGCTGCCATATGAGATCCCTGTGACCTCAGCTACATGCCTGATGGTCACTCTTCGATCTGCCAACACAACATCTTCGACTTTTTTCACGTTGTCTTCAGTGAGGGACGTGGATGGGCGTCCTTCGCGATGTTCATCTTCAGTGGATGTTCTGCCCAGTTTAAACTCCTTGGCCCAGCGTGCAACTGTAGAATATGGAGGAGCAGAGTCTCCCAATGTTTCCACTAAGTCACTGTGTATGTCTTTTGAAGACATTTTTTCAAACAGAGGTACTTGATGACAGCTCTAATTTCGTTTTTCTCCATGTTGATGTTATCTCTTTGACAGTTCGTATTCAAATGAATGTATCTCCCGGAAATCGTGATCTATTTATATGATTTTTTTAGGCTGACGTAGTGAGTATATAAGCAAGCAAAAAATATTTTTTTTGGATTTTTATGCGGACCTGAAGTAACCGATTATCATTACTTTTGGATCACCCCTCGTGTATATCATTTTTTAATTTAACGAAAAAATTTTGTATGTGATTAATCTGTTTTTGTTCTGACTCTCCTCAATTAGTTTCTACAATAAAAAGACGGTATAGTTAACGAAAGAAAGTTGTAGAAGAAATAATTACTTACACTGAAGTATTTGATAATAGCATAGAAGATATCTTTTGAATAGTTGTACGATTCGAAGTTTTGTGGAATTTGTATTTCAAAAACATTTTGAGCATCCGAATGATCTCTTAGGTGAAGCGCCGTAAGTAACACGAGCTCGCCCATATTCTCAACAAACAAATTGGTCCACTTTTCATTTTTAAGCATTTCTCTAGTTTGATGAAACATCTTGGATGCCGCTTCCCGCAACTTGGGTTCCTTGTTACTGATCAGGCCATACTTTTCACTCACAATGTAGGGCAAACTCAGAACTATAATATTAGAAAAACTTTTCTGGAAGTAAAAGGAAGAACTTAAAACAAGTACAGCACATGAAAGTGATATATTTATGTTATGTTTGTCTATTCAACCTCTAAAATTTCTGTCTCCGGAATATTTCGTTTGAATTTTTGCATCATAGCACTTTGTTGTACGACACCGCGATGACGCCACAAGATGTCGGCAGAGACAAACCACTTCATGTACTTCATAGAGATTTGATCGCCACCCTCAGAGACGATAAATAAATACAAAGGCAAATCTTCTAAAGAATATCCTTTATCCAACCAATATTTTAATATGAATAGAATATTTTTCTCGAAGTAAACATCAACACTTTGTTTGGTCACATTAGCTATGATTATTTTTAACATTTTCTTCACCAAATATCTGTCTAATGATTTCTCCCGTTGTATAAATACAATTTCTACAATTATACGATGTATAAATGTTGGTTTATTCTGTGACAACCGAAAAAAGGCTTGAAGTAAGGACGCCGTCCTATTACTTAACTCGTCCTTCAAAATAGTTTCGTTGTCATCTGACACCTAAAAATATTTATAAAAATTAAAATATGTGCAATTTTTGGTATTGTGTTGAATTGTCTGAAGCGAGAGCTAGCCTCATCGTGTCCTCCCGTCACCCTGTCCGTGTTATATCCGTGTACTCTAATTTAGGTTAGGATTCAAGCTGTGAGTCACGAACTCCTACTATAACTTCATATGTAGAAAACAAAATTTTTCTTCGAAACGAAAATACGAAATATTTATTTAATTGAGGAAATTTGTACATATTATATAAATCATGACTTACAACAACCGTAAACATGTCTTTCAAACTGGCTATGCAAGACTCTGTATCTTCGCCGGACATTGCTTCCGATATGTCATTGATCAAATAACTACAATACAGACGTATACAGTGCAGGTTCGCCTTTAAATTGTCTATTAGCACGTCTTTAAAACTGAGCTCAGTTTGATTGTTTTCTTTATATTCAAGCATTGTTAGTTTCGCTGCACATTTGAATACCAGCGCTACAACTTTAGGGGGATAGAACTTGCTTGCGCACCTCTGTAGATAGCTTTTGACCATTATAAAACAATTTCGACGCATATTGTCACTGTGGAGCCACACTCTATCAATCATTTGAACCAGTGTTTCAAGGATTCCCAAAGTAGCTTGTGAATCTCGGAATAAATCTTTGCACATAGACTGCATTAATGCAAAAGTTAACTCTAGAACAAAAAAAAAATATTATATTTCATTGTAATATGGTCTTAGATTTGCACATGTTTCATATTATTGTTACGGGGATTTAAGTATATTCTTTCGGATTTACAACACTGTTTACCTATAGGTCCATTTTCGACATCAGGTTGATTTAATAATCGTATGCATTTCAATGCAGATACTACGTCCCATTGACAAGAGAAATTAAACAACTTCGAATTCAGGATCAGTTCAAAAAGTTCATCTCTGTAATTTTGTTGTTTCTTGCAGTACGCAGCTACGAATACAATACAGTTATGTTTTAACGCGTTATAACTCATATCCGGGTCGCCCTCATCATCTTCTGGAGGTACATCACCGATTAAAATATCATTTAAGCAATGAAAAAAATCATTATCAATACATTGCCGAACTTCCGTATTTAATAGAGGGTTATATTCTTCAAACAATATCAATTGTAGAGACTGAAGCAGTATATTTTTATCTTTAATTTGTATGTCGCTAATACGCTTTAATATCTCCATTGAGCCAACGTACATAATTTTTAGATACTCTCTAAAAGTCGGTAACAGTTTTGTGACATTATCATCGTGGAAATAATTTTCTAACATAATGTCTAGATAAACTAATTTTATTTTTATAAGTTTAATATATTCTAGGAGCTCGATGTCTTTTCTCTGCAATAGTAGTTTGTATTCATTAAGCTTTTCTTGCAAGTATCCACTAAGGTGTGCATTCACTTCACTGTTGATTTCCTGACCTTTCGTAATACATTCGATTCGGTTTTCGCATTTTCCCACTTCAAATTCGAAGTTGCTAAGCAAAATACATTTGTCAACTGTTTGAAACAATAGGTCACGTACATCGGCACTTTCCGAAATTTCCGACTCATACGAGCCCCTCAGGTTCTTATTTGACAACAACGTAAAGAACAGCTCTCTAACATTACTCACATCGACGTTTGTTATTTGTCCGTTAGCAAACCAAGTGAAGCATTTGATTCGGCCAAAATTATAGCAACTCTTTGCATAGAACTTTTTAAATAGCATGGTAAGTGTCTTGACGCTCTGATCGTTGACTGGCATTCCCTTCTCGAAGTACAAGATGAACAAAGGTTTAACGTTATGATATTCCAAAAGATTTAATAATAATATTGCCTGCATTACACCATGAATTACTTTCTGAGCAGTGGTTACGCTCGTGGAATTTCTGTAATTAATAGGAAATACACTAATCAGTTAACTATTCTTCACAACCCCATCTTTGGTACTTTCAAACCTTTTTTTCAAGGTTACTGATACTAGTGCGATTTTATTTTGAGACCATATCAAAGATAATATATAATAATTTCTACTAACAATTCGCCGTAATTACCGGCACCCATGTGAACATCTACAATGCGTTGAGTTGCAAGTGTTTTGCCATTTTTTAAAGAGTGGGTCTTGGGAATTTCAATTAACAGCAACAGGAGTAATTACATATGTAATTAGGGAAGTATCCATATAATGCAAATTTACGTACCGTACACATGCATTCCATAATGATAATACAAGCTTTTTCCAAGTATTTGAATCTATATCGTTTTGAAGTGCACTATTTTTCAAAACCAGGCATGTCAGATTTTCAAAAACATTCGAAATTTGCTGTATGTTGTTATTATTAACTAATTTCTCTAAAATCTCGAGAAGAATTTTGTACTCATTTATGGAAATGAAGTGTCCGAAATGTTCAACATACATATGAGTAACATCTATCCTAAAAATATAAACATATTTATAGTATATAACGTTATATATACAAATTTTCATAAAAAAAAATTGTCATCTTTATACGACAATTTGATGCCTTTTAATTAAACCCGTATGGGTTAACATAGATCCCACATAAGCAAGTGATCGTGATTGAGGTTTTTTTGGTTGTGGTTGTGTGATGATGGCTTAATATATAGTCCAAAAACTATATATGAAAAAAAATATATTTTATAATCACATGGAGTAGTTAATAGTCAAATAATTACCATGCTATGTGACTTTTCTGAAACTCCCTCAGCAGGTCCTCAAAAACCACCAAATTATTTAATGTTATCTTTGGTTTCTTTGAAGACTTTTCCGTATCGCAATTATTTGCCTTTTCCTGTGCGGACATTTTAAATATCTGCCAAAGTATAGAAATGTATACAAACACTATTTAACCTAACTATACTAAATACATACGATATAATTCATACCACGAAATAGGTAGATGCAGCAACACGAGCAAAAAACGGACATTGATGTAACATGTTAGCGTTCTGTTTGTAGCTTTTGTGGATGTAAGCAGTTTCCAAACATATTATTGCCATGATACTATGAAGGCATTTGTTCCAATCGTCCCAGTTATAAGCCAAAGCCGCGTCCTCCTTTCTTATACGCCCCAGAGGATGATGGATTGCAATTGATATATCTAGCAACTTGAACAGCTGCGACTAAAACATACACAAACATTAAAATCAAAGTAAATATTTTAATAAGGACAAAAATAAAAACTGAACAAATTGCTAGTGTTAATACAACGTGGATCTATGGATCTGGTGTCTCTAGGTGTCTCTGGTGTTATGACACCATTTACAAGTTTTGTTTATTATTAGATTTTGGATTTAAAAAGGCCTTTTTTTCCCAATACATATCTTATCATTTTCTCTGGAAGCTATCTCGCCGTTTATTAATCTCGGTGATTTCTATTATAGATTTTTTTTCATCTGGCATACGTCACATCCGTCTAGCTTAGTTCCAATAACATTATTCAGCCAAGTCTTGATTTTCCTTTTCGGCATGAACATCCAAACTTGGCTGCTTACATTCTCATTCACATCCGAAACGTGAACTAATTCACGAGTTATCATAGTCGATAGCCGATAATTATCTCTACGTTGTATACATAAGTGGTTTTATTGAATTCCCATCACTTTAAGGTATTAACGAGAACATGTATTAAAACCCAACGATATAATTATATTGGAAGAATTAGCTCTTTTTTTGAAATTTTTAGAACAATGGACTTTGTAGAAAAATGGCGTCTTTTTTTATGTGAAAAGTTGTCAAGCGAGCAGACGGTTCACCTGGTTTTAAGTGAATACCGCTGCCCATAGACATCTACACCTGAGGAGGCAGATGCGTTGACAACCTTTTGAAATATGGGCTCCGACCACCTCACTCACCAGACGAAACGCGAAAGTATTGTACTTCCACTTTTCGCCAGTTTTCTGTGAGGTCGTGGTACTTACCCGGACGAGGCTGCTGCGTGGCCCTAACAAATCGCGTCTGGGCGCGAATATCCCATCAGCAAAAAATTTTCGTGTATTTTATTGTTTCATCTTAAAGTAAGCACTATAAAAACCTAATGTAAAAAATTTTTTTTTCTTTTCATTTATCTTAAAAAAAATTGATAAAATTTCTCTCTATCCATTTAATTTCGTATCATTCAATTTCGTTGAAAAAGACATTAAGAAATAGAAGTGAATAAGAAATAGAAGTGTATATGGATATAAAAGTGAAGAAACATTCGGCAAGACTAAGCAAATTGTTGAAAATAACTAATGTGCCATACCTTCTTCTTTAGGTCCAAATTTTGTTCATAGAATTGGAATATTAAAGGTAAGTTCTTCTCTGCAAATTGACATACACTTAAACGGCTCTCTAAATAAAGCTGAAACGAATTAAGAATTATTTTATTAATGACGGAATTATTAATAACATAGGCACGCAAAAAGAAATTCGAAATTTTACGGTTTAAAGGTATACGTCCTATGCCCGGTTCCTATATTCAACGAACGGCCATTGTTGAGGTGATTTCCTTACGAGCCGTCACATTACCTACGGAAAGTGAGTTACTAGTGTTTCTTTAATCTACAAGTCGTTATGAAAGTTACGAAACTATGTAACTAACGGCCGTTCGTTAAATATAGGAACCGCCGCGGCCGGGGTGACAAGAGGGCTGGTTATTTTCTCGCTCAAAGGTAAAGCATAATACTATTCAGCCAGAACATGCAACTAGTGTCCTTGGCAACGTGTCAGCGTTACCTATTTTTATTAGGTTATATGTAATTTTGTTTAATTTACAAGTTGTAAATTTAAAAAAAAAAATAGTTATAATAAAAATATATATATATATATGACTTATTACAGTTTATTAAAAAATTATAATAAAGTTAAAAGTACAGAAAACATTTTTATAATAATCAAATTATTTTAATATTTACATAGTTAGCCTAACTAAAAGAAATATAATATTATTTAGGTTATTTATAGATATTTATAATATAAAATGAAAATATACTGTACTTGAACTTTATCTTTAACTGTATCTTAAACTTCTCACAAAAAAGCTTGAGGAAATAAAATATTAATATTTACCATATCCAGTGTTAAAATCATTATGTCTGTAACAACTTCCAGAGCCTTCTTGTTATTAACCAATTTATGAAAGTACTGTGTCATTTTATTTAAAGAATTTCGAAGCGTTAAAGAAAACTGGGTACACTCTCCAGCATTCTTTATAACAAGCCACAGCAGTTTCAGTCTAACAAAATCATCCAAATAAGAATCGCTTGAAATACATGCTTTAGTAGCTATGTCAAGTAAATCTGAAACATTTTATAGAAAAAATTATGTTACTACATTAATTTTAGAGGTAGACTTTAACAACGTCATTTTTTAAACACAACGTTTACTTCCCATCCCACCTAATGAATACGGTGAGATCCCGCTGAATTGCGAACGACTAGTACAACGCGTAAGCAACACTTACGCCCAGTTTCTGAAACAATGATCATCGTAGAAGTCAACTAACCAGCTGTCAAATGGATTTTCAAATGTTATTTGAGTTGCTAAAGGATTGTTAAACTCTTTAAATTGATCATGCTGATCATTAAGAAGATCATTCTGATCAATTAAGAGAATATAACAATCCTTTTGGCAACTCAAAAAACATTTGAAAATCCATTGGACAGCTGGTTAGTTGACTACTACGATGATCATTGTTTCAGAAGCTGGGCGTAAGTGTTGCTTCTGTATCTAGTGGTAGGTACTGTACTAAAGACATTGGTAACGACGTCGTAGAAATTAAACGAACGCCACTTTCCACCTTCTGCCCATTCCTCTTCCTACCAGCGTAAGATCAAAATGAGCAAAATAAGTCCAAACGCCACAGCTTTTTATCAGTTTAACATTCCTTCCGCACTAAATATGGCCGTGCGTTAAAATGGGCAACACTTGGCATAATGTGGATTGATTTTTCTTACTTTTTTTTTTGTTAACGACGAGAATAAAGTCATACCACTTATTTCTCAGACAATTGATAACATAAGGATTCCATAATTTAGTCCCTCAGGCCTGGCACGTCCCCTTGTGTACCTTACGACCATGCACACCCCCGTAAGGTACTTTTAACCGTCCCACAATGTCACTAAATCATACGAAAATTTCGCGAGCATCGTTTCGAATAAAGAAAGCAGCATAATATGATATAATAAGCAGGATAATCCTTACTAATCTTATAAACGCGAAAGTTTGATGTATGGATGGATGTTTGTTACTCTTTCACGCAAATACTACTCAATGGATTTTAATGAAACTTTACAATAATATACATAGCTTATACATCAGAATAAGACATAGGCTACAATTTATATACATATTTTATGTGTATCTGTCTTTCTATCTGAATGTTACGCTTTCAGCCTATTCTACGCAGACGTAATCGCGGGCAGCAGCTAGTATATATATATATATATATATATATATCAGGCGTTTGTTTCAGGAGGGTGGAAAATTCAATGGCATTTATGTACAAAGACATGTCCGCCCCATATGGTGGAACTGATGGACATACATATTAGTAACGTTCCGGATATTTGTGGATACGGATAAAAAGATCCGTATCCGCTACATTTTTGGCGGATCTTTTACGGATCTTTATCCTTATAATCGTAATAAAATGATTATTCTAATTCAGTAAATTAATACACTGTGACACTCAAAGTGTTAACTTCTGTCAATACTTTAGTGAATTGTGGGTCTCCAAATAATTTTTTTTTCTGACATACTGTATGAGCAAAAGAGGTTTCCTATCTAATATTCATCATCATCATCACTATTTAACATGTTAGCCATAGACTCTTCTAGACTCGTGACAAAAATCATTGGTTTGTCCTTAGAACTTTTTGTAGTTGCTGTGAGATTTATTTCATTTTCCAAAGTTGTAAGCAATTTTTTTTATTTTGACCAGTGGGTGTAAAAATGTGGCTACTTGAAACAATTTTTTTTATCAATTTCGGAAATTATTATTTATCCTTTGAATCAGACACAAAATCAAGGACGTGGATACACTAATATTGAGATTTTCCTGGATATTAAGTTAAGATCCGTATCCGGATCCATATCCGCGGATTTACAATTTTAATGATCCGGTATATGACTAATACATATACATAAATAGATCTGGATAGATCCTACGCGTCCCTCCCCTAAGCGTTGTGACGCTAAACAATTGTGATGGATAAAAACGCGAAATCATATTGCACAAATGAGCAGGCTCATCCAGGGATGTACCACGTCCTCACAGAAGACCATTGTGAAGTGGAAGGATTATACTTTCCTGTTTCGTCTGATGAGTGACATAACTAGGGCTCACTTTTTTAAGGTTGGACTTGCAACGCAACCCCTTTTTAAATGTCCGTGGGAAGAGTTCTGAGCCAAAATGCAACTCTCCATTTAAAAGCTCTTTATAAAAAAACAATAAGAATACTGATACATAATACAAAAACAAAATATACAAACCCTCCCAAACACTTGATGTTATATACTTTGGATAATTTTCACTGCACAATACATACTTGTACAACAAGGTTAAATATGCATCACCAACTGTATTGTTAAGCCTTTTGTTATTTAAAACAAATTGACATGCTTCCATTATCTTGTCACATTTTATGTATGCTTTACCTAAAATAATCAAAAGTTAAAATTAGTGCCACATATATTATTTGACAAAACAGTATAAAAATCAGTCTATGCATAAAGTTTTGGATAAACCACTCAAAATATGTATAAAAAAAAAGATGATGTTGCATAAATTTCATCCAAATTATCTGAATAGACAATGAAAATAGAGAAAAGCTTATGTCAATTTTCAACACACAATAGAAGTGCATTGTAAATTTTCGCACACACATGTTTTACAATTATTTATAATGTTACAAACTCGGATCAATAAATAAATATAGAGACAGAACATTGCGCTGATATAAGTAAGGTTAAGGCATGTAATATGAAGATGATTTGGTCATAAGAAGACTGCTCAGCATTGCTTTTGACAACTCTGTATTTTGTCAATATTTACAAACATGTAATTAAATCAATAAAAAAAATTTGGTCAGTAAGCAAAGTAACAATATATTGTAAAACAATTTTCATAAAAAAACAACTTAGATGGTACATGGTACCCATGTTTAAAATAGATCACAAGTTAATGCTATATTTATAATTTTGCAGATAATAAATTATTAAAAAAGCAATAATATTATGTGGGGAATATTCCTTTGTTTTCTTGTCTGGTTCAATATTATTATTATTAAACAAATATAATTAATAGATAATTTTTAACTCATAGATAAATACTAATAACATGTTATTCTTATTTCAGGAATTATAAAAATATAAGTTGATAATTAATAGTGAATTGCAATTTTGTATTTACCCTTAATGGAACCAGCCACACATAAGTGAAGAATACTTGTAAATAGAGGATATGTGACACTATGAAAAGTTTTAGACAATGTCGATTTTTCCGTTTCCTAAAAAAAAAATTGTAAATCAATCAAGTAGTAAAGACATATATCCACCACCAGCTGTTGAACAAGCATTTTTGTTACTATAGTAATGCAAATATTTTTATTGTTTAATGAACATAAATTTCAACTTCAAAACAAAATACTCATTATATACTCATTGGCCCCAAACACGGAACTATCAGACCTTTGATAGCTCAGTGTCCAGGCGCTCACTTTTAATTTATTATGAAACCTGCATATTTTTAAATAATAATATTTGAAGATATATGAAGTCCAATCCACAGTGAGGTTGCATAGAGAACTATGCTCTAATACTCTGAAGAGAGGAGGCCTTTGCCTAGCAAAGGGCGTATGTTACTTTAGGGGCGTATGGCGTGTTACTTTACTTTTAATGTAATCCTGCTTTAAACAAAAAGAAGAAAAGCCAAAAAGTATACAATTAGTTGTTATATTAATCTTTAAAGACTACAACACTTATAGCCATGAGATTCAGTCAGAAATTCTTATTTATATAGGCATAACTTTGAACCTAGTTGTGATTAAAATTAGCCCCCCAACTACTAACATTAACCTAATTAGGGTAACATTTGTGCAAGTATACATTAGACATCATTCTGTGGTACAAAACTAGATACTTAGATACAAAACTGAGGAGTTAACCTGTGGACGCGAAAACGCTCACCTTAAGCATGTATTCATTTATGTTATCGAATAAGTCATTCCAAGAGAAACCTTGATTTTTTCGAGTGTTATCAGAAAGAAGGTCAGGGACTGCATTTCTGGTTAAAAAAACTTTTAATGTATCAGCACTCCTCTTTCTTTCAGAAGCTCTATTTGACGTTAAATTTTCACAAATATCTCGTAACGAATTTTCTAAAGACATTTCTCCAAAAGCGTTAGAGCTCTAACAGAAACCAGGAAAGAGGAAACCTGAAGTTCAATACCTATCCTATTACCTAATTATTTTTGAAAATAATTTTACTATAAAACTCTATACATCAATCAAACTTCAAACTCAAAAGTCAAAACAAAACTGTAAGCAATTAATATTGTACTCTTTGACCAGATATATTTCAGATAGGTATAAAAGTACTCTTTGTCTTTGACTGTAAGTTATTCGGATTTTCACGGGACATCCGTGTTGCCAAAGAGTACATTATTAATAATTTAAGAGTACATTATTAGTGTTGCCAAAAATATAGAGCGTGATGTCAACATTTTTTCTAGTAGAATTTTAACTTCTGTAGCCTAAAGCAGCCCCAACACCAAAACATTCCTATGATATAATTATATACTATAAACCGTAATTTAAATTAACTTATTTATTTCCCCCTACTATAAAAACCATAAAAGCTTATTTGCCAGTGTTAACCTTAGATAAAATTGAAAATATTAAGATTCTGCTTCGTCTACCAGCAATAGTAAGGCACCAACAAGATTTTGGAAACGTCATCTGTGGTAGCTGCTGTGCTAAAACAGCGCAACCTTAGCTTGGGATGCGTATATTAGATAAGCGTATATTTTCCCATTCGTCGCAATAATGCTTCAAAAATTTTCCTATATTGTTATCACAACAAAACCAGTGTTGAAAAAATGTTGCCTGTTGCCGTCCACTGTACTAAATTTACTGTTTACACTACGGCAAGTGACGAGTCAAGTGGCGGGGGGTTATGCGGGTGCGCGAGGGAAGCAATTGCACCAAAAAATTAAAGAAAAAACGGTCTAATTGCAAGGCAGCTTGCAAGTCAATTTAACTCGCTACTGTCCGATAGTTTACACCACTGTATCTATTTATCTTAATATTATTATATTTATATATTTATCTTCTTCACTAAACACATGACCAGTATAAATCGGATTTTATAATAAAGACAATCGCGATAGTCCATAATAGGAAAATGACACTTCGTTGTATCGTAAATTTGGTAATATGAAAGCCAAAATTTCTCGTATTCCCTGATAATAACCAACCTCTTGTATCTTGTATTAACTGATGTTTTTGCTTTCAGTCCCGAGACTATTAAAGCTTCAACTGACGCAGAACCCACGGGTTTGGGCCCTCCGCTGTGGGTAGGGCCGCGCATGTGCTCATGCGTGCGTTTAACTATGTTGTGTCATCTAAGGGCCATCGAGGTCGCGGTTCGGACCGAAACCCCGATGGCCGTCGACTGTGCAATTAGCTAATCGGTGGCTGGGAGCGGTGAGATAGATCCGCCCCGGAACGCGGGTGAACCTTCTGTACGCGTTGACTTCGCCGTGCTCGGAGGCGACGGCGAACTAGTGTGTTTGTTGTTGCACTAACAGTGGGTGTAGTGTTACCCGGCGGGACCCCCGGCGGTTGGTCCGACGTATCTAAGTCCCCTTCCTCGACCGGGTTGATTAGAACGTTTCGCGGGTTTTTGTTGACGTTCGCGTTTGTGTCGGGTTGGTAATTTGCTGCGCTTACCACCAGAGGGTTGGGATGATGTTCGGCTCTATCGAAGAGCCGTTTGGTCAGGTCTTTAAAATATTCGCGAATCGTCGGGAGTCTGTAATCGCTGTGCAGGTCGACGTTGCGTTGATACCACTGCGCACCGGTTGTGCTTCGTGTGAAGTGAATCGCCACACTCTTTTCGGGATTTACTTCTATTCTCCATTTGCGGAACCAATCACCGAGGAGGTCGGCGTTGCTTTGGAGTCGAGTGATTAGTTGACTGCGGTTTCTGTATGAATAAAAGAGCGCCGTGTCATTTGCGATAAGTGCGAGATTGACGTGGGGGTCTTTTGGTATGTCGCTCGTGTAGAGCGTAAAGAGCAAAGGTTAGAGGCAGGAGGAGCCTTGTGGAACGCCAGCCGTGAGGCGGCGGCTTGTGGAGAGGGTTCCCTCAACTCGATATGGAAAAGAGCGATTCAACATGAAGGCCCGGATGGTGTGTACAAGCCTATCTGGCACTTTGAGTATATACAGCTTGTAAAGCAAGCCGTTGTGCCCGACCTTGTCGAATGCTTTTGCGACATCGAAGAAAAGAGCCCCCGTGCTAATATGTTTAGGGTGATTTAGGCCTTTTAGGATATGTTCCGTTAGGCGGTATGATTGATCGGGACAGGAATGTCTGTCGAAAGCCGAATTGTTAACACGTGCTCTTTGAGCCTGTTAAATAGAAGCCGCTCGTAGAGCTTCCCCAGGCAACTGAGGAGGCTGATGTGATGATAACTAGAGGGAACTGATTGGCTGGTTTATTCGGATTGCGAATACCAATAACCGTAGCTTCTTTCCAGTCGTCCGAAAAGGATCAACTGGAGTGTAAAGTGTTGTGATAACTAACCATAAACAAGGGTGGCCATAATTCTTTATTTCCATTGTTATGTATAATATCACAATAAGCCTGATTCAAGAATCATGTTTATCGTAGGTATGCCTATGCCTGTAGTAGAAATCACAAGAAATCATTCTACGTCACATATCGCCAAGAATTGAGGTCACCGTTACGGCGTTTTAGCATGAGCTCTTCGGAATTGTTGTCGGCTGTGTTATTTGCGAGGCCTCAAGATTTTATTGATCAAAATGACTGGGTTTCGGCTGAAGTACTTTGCGTGAAACATCTAAGTTCCCTCTCAATGGAAAAACCAAAATCTTGAAGGTAAATCCGTCACCGAACCACCCTGGATAATATGTGCTTTCTGTGCTCAGTGGATTTTAGAGCATCAGAATCAAATGACAACTTTAAACTTTAAGCCCATGTAACGCCTAAAATGTTGGAGCGCCTTGACCACTGCCAGAGACCAAGCTCGCAGATATTTGATCTCAGCAACCTGTATCTTTGCTATTATAAGGAACAAGTTTCGCTCGTGTGAAGCACTAGCCTACAGCCTGCATTTCTCGCGTTTGATCGGCTTCAGTCTGAAGACTCGGCACAAAGATGGCAAGTACTGGTTCGGGAACCACCTCGTGTTCAGGTGTCCAGTTAAATTCGGCACCTTTCCTAGTTATACGGGCAATAGGGACAGTTTTCGTAGCGTAGTTTATTATATACCGTCTGAAGTACCTCACAGAGTCAAGCAATTGTGCTGGTTGTATAAAGTTTTTGGCAGGACCGGGTGTCGAAATACCCGGAGAGAGGAGGCCTGAGAAGGCCACAGTCGCGCCGGGTTCACGGAAGATTGCGTTTTCGTGTTCCCGTGTCCCCGGTAAAAGTGACAGCGCAGGTGCAACGTGGTTTTTTTAGTTGGTACCTCGTAACTCCCACATACCCCTGCTGCCTGCCCACAAGGCGGCGGGGAATCCATAAAGGATTTTTCTCACGTTAAAAAAAAGGTTGTATTAAATTTTTCGGGGAACCGTGTTACCTAGAAACTCCACTTTTTGTAAGCTCGGTCTTACCTGACCCTCTCTTTCTATTCTACATAGAGGTAATTATTTCTTGTTTTAACGCGACTACAATACACAATTAAATGAAACTATTTAACGGATTTTATCGCGTTTTAGTATTGATTTTTAATTCCCGACGTTTCGAACGTTTTCCAGAGTTCATGGTTCCTTACAATAGACAAACAATTTGAAATATCGTTTTTTAGCCATAACTCGAACGTGAGATGTTGCTATTGCTATTTGAAATTTATATTTAGTGATTAGAAGATAACAATAAATGTGCCAAGCATTGCTTAAAATGCGAAAAAACAATGTAATTAGAATGCGTGGAGATATTCGTCGGTGTGGCAATCATCCGCTTAACTTAATAGTTAAAGCCTTAAAGCGCTTAGCGCTTAGCTTAATTGTCTGGGCGCGAATCCGGAAGACGTGGATTCGATTCCCGCAGCGGCAAAAAACTTTTCGTTCATTTTTTCTACAAATTTTAAAACATATGTCAAATTCTCGAATATTTACAAAATGCTTTATTCAACTTAGTCTAACTATTCAAAGTCAATATAGATTTGTAAATAATATTATTATTAAATAAAATAAAGTACAAATAAAAATAAGATGAACATTAACACATGCAAATTATTTTCAATTTTACATAAGAATTTTACTACGAGCGCTTGCATACAAAAGCCTGACTGAGTCACAATAGCCTATATTATTTCTTGAACTAGCAACAACCACATATGCATCACCTGTGCGTACTAATCTCTTAATTTTACAATAATCGAGTGCTGCTCGTATGCGACTTTCAACTTCTGTGGCCCAGACGGATTTAGTATCTTCGAAATAATGTATTGTTCGCACTCCCTTATAAAAACGAAGTTGCCTCGATGTGTGGCAAGTTCTAGTTACTGCAACAATAGGGCACGATGGTTTTGCATGAGATAATATTTTAGCGGTGCGACCAGAATTTGTTAAACATATTATCATAACAGCTTGAGAACGTAAGGCAAGTTCAACAGCCCCAACACATATTGCTTTACTTGGTTCTTCTAAAGGGCATTGCATTAATTCCAAATTTCCATAAATACGTGGTTGCCAGGCAATTCTTTCAGCGTTACGACATATAACAGCAGCAGCAGCCAAACAATGTTCAGCCATACGCACTGCATCGTAAGAAGGTGCGAATTTTTTAAATGGCGAGTCATAATGCAATTCCAATGAAATAACATCAACTCCATCCAGCACTAAATTTGCAATATCTGATACACAAAGCGTGGGAATTTGTTCATTGATTACAGCTTTACTAATACATGGCTTTCCAGCGGTATTACATTTAGCCATTATTA